TGGAGTTGGTTGCCATTTCTTCTCCAGGGTATCTTCCCAACCCAGGTATCGAATCCACATCTCCTGCTTGTCAGGAGGGTTCCTTACCACTGGGCCACCTAGGAAGCCCCACTAATACATTATATGTATGCACTATACATATAGTGCTTACCACTGTACATTAAGATACTTGTCTCTCACCTGAACTATTTATTGATTTCCTTATCTTTAGATGCCTTTAACCTTCAAAAATGCATCATTTCATACTCTTTCCTGAGGATATTACATTTAACATTTACTTTGAATGTAAAAATGCATGAAATACATGATGCCGAATCTAATTATATCAGCCTGTTAATCAGGAGTCATATAACTCCTGGGCCTGGAAAATTCACATTAAGATCACCACTACATCAGTATATTCACAAGTTTATCTTTGCATTTGTTTTACCCAAGAATCAGAGTGCTTTTTAAAAAAATTACTGTCTCAACAATAGAAAATACTTAAGCGTCTCATATAAAACCCAGTATCCAAGCTAGTGATGTACTTTATAATAAGTAATTCCTTGCCAAGAAATCTGTTTATAAACTAGTCTCACTATCCTAGCTACCTAAACTGACACATACTTTTTTCCATGTTAAAAACAGACACTGTTTTCTTTCTGGCCCTGGAATTGCCAACAGAGGAGCCACTGTTTTCAGCACACGACCCAGCTGACCAGTGCTGTGCCTCTTCAGATGCGCCAAGTCAGGGAAAGGACTCAGTATCCTAGCTTAACGTCTTCGGTACAATAAACCATAATCACATTCTTAAACAGTAGGCTGTAGCATTAGCTACTGAGTTTTAGAATCAGTTGATAAAACAGCATTTAAAAACATAGCATGTTTCTCTTCTGTGTATTTGGGTATATATGTGTGATGAAGGTAAAGATAATCTAGCAACAAAGTACAGGTTATCACCAAATACCAGATTTTTTTCTATTTTTTTATTTCTCATTTCTGTACAGTGTTTAACTATGCAAGTGAAAGTTTCTGTCTTCATGATCTGAGTTAAGATTTTTGAATTATGAGCACTGCTCATTCTGTTTATTACATTTTCTGTTCCATAGTTGTGTTTGTTGGGATCTGACTAGAAGATCAAACCAGTTATTTCAACAGAGAACCATATGTATGGTTCTACAGAGAGCCATAAGGCAGCTCTCAGGTACCAGAGTTAATTGCAGAAATGGCCACCACTCCTAGGATTAGGGGTTACAGAGGGAAAAGGTGGAAGGCTAGGCCCTATGAAGCTGACCTCTGAGGAAGAAGACACTGCTGTTTGTGCCAATGTGACTGATGGCAGTGGAGAGAACCAGATCCCTGGGGATAAAGCACTGATGGACTGGTGCTGCTTTGTCTTGGGCACACACAATGAGGCCAGTTCTGCAGAGATTTAAAAAACTGCAGACTTGTTTTTGTTAACTTCTTGAAGAAGGTACTGGATGCTGGGATTAAAAAGCGAGACTGAAATGATGATCACAGGAACAGCAAACAGGAAAAGTCAAGTGACACAGATAGGAAGACGCAAGGTGCCTCTTTCCTTCAACTCTGAAATCTCCTCCAGCCCTTCTTCTTGGCAAAGCCTAAATGTGGTTTTCAGAGCCCAAATCCTAGCATCACAAGGCAAAAGGTTGAACTTGGAGGTGATAGAATCTAAATACATTTTGACTTTCAAAGTCAAGGAAAGTCTGTGGCTAACCTAAATTACAGTCTTAAGTATAATAAACAGACAGAGTTTAGTCATGTCATTGAAAGGGACTTCTGTCATAACGTGCTGAATAAGAATTTAAATTTTGCTGCAATGATCAATTTAGTAAACCTTTTTTTCATATTTGTGAATCTTTTGCTTTTTAGCTTTTTTAAATTGCAACAAATAAAAGCACAAAACCTTGATGGTTTTATTATAGAAAACAAGTTTTCTAGAATCTTAAAAGCAAACAAGTCTAAATATGCCATGTACTGCTGAGAATGCCACAGTGGTTTCCAGTTGCTTGTTGTGTGCAGTATAAGCTCCACAGCCTCCTCATGGTGATCATAGCCTACTTGTCTAGTCTTATCTTCCTCTGCCTTCATCTGTTTTACCTAGACTCCAGGTAGGCTGGACTGCTCTCTGGCCTTTACCATACATTGAACTTAACTTGCTTCAAGGCTTTGCTCAGCATGCATTTTGGGTGATTCTCTTTTCCCATATGCTCCCCATGTAACTGTCAAAATCCTACCCCTCCTTCAAATCCCTCTGCAATTTATGGACTTCAGTAAAGTTTGTTTGTCCTGATTTAAACAGCTAAATGTGTTCAAAGATTATGGTATCATAAGTTACTTTTCAGAAAAGGTTTTAATCAATTTATAGTTCCATCAGCAGTATATTATGTGTGTCTTGTCTCACCGTGACCTCACTAACCCTAGTTGGTCTTGTTTTTAATTGTTGTTTAATAAATTTGCTTAGTAATTTTTCTAAATGGTTTGTCAGCCTGCCATCTAAAAACAAACTAAAAACAATCAGAAGGTTGTGTGTTCATGTCACGTTGGGGTCAGAGAGACTCTTTTTAGGGGCTTCCCTGGTGGCTCAGATGGTAAAGTTCCTGTCTGCAATGCAGGAGGCCCAGGTTCGATCCCTGGGTCGGGAAGATCCCCTGGAGAAGGAAATGGCAGCCCACGCCAGTGTTCTTGCCTGGAAAATCCCATGGACAGAGGAGCCTGGTGGGCCACAGTCCGTGGGGTTGCAAAGAGTTGGACAGGACTGAGCGATTCCACTTTCTTTTCATCTAAAAACAGCTGTTTTGTGTCCTCTTCCTCCCCTCTTCTCTACCAACTTATTTTTAACTGGGTTCTTTCTTTTTTCACTCTTTATTTTATATTGGAGTGTAGTTGCTTCACAGAGTTGTGTTAACTCTCAGGTGTACAGCAGAGGGGTTCCGTTGTACGCGATACGTATATCTGTTCTTTCTCAGAGAAAGAACATGTATCTGTTTCTTTTCATAACTGGGTTCTTTCTTCACAGGAGAAAGCATAGGTTCTCCCTCTCAACCTGCTCTATGACCTGCCATTAAAATAAAGCATAGTGCCTACCCTTCATAAGCCTTATTCTCATCTCCTATTCACTTACACAGATTTCTGTAAAGAGAGTACTTACACGTTTCTGTATCTTTGTCCTCCTTAAAAACATGTATGGAAGTGGATTTTTATTCACTATTTCAGGAAATATTTTAGATTACCTAGTTCATGCCAGGCAGTGTGCTAGTGAAGAGCAAGCAAGCAGAGATACTGTGCATTCTTTGCCCTCCCGGAACAGTCAGAGTGGGAAGCAGGTGATATAAAATAAAATATGAGTGTGATAAGAGGTAAGAAGGAAAGGTATTTGTTACACTGAAGAGCTTATACCAGCTATAACATTGAGTCAGGGAAGATATCCATGAAGTAATTGAGCTGAGATCTGAAGATATGGTGGGAATTAATAGGCAGAAGGAATTTGCCAGTACTCCAGAACTGTTGTTGCCAAGTTCATGCTGTTAGGTCCATGAATACTGGTGTTGTATCTACTTGAACCCTAAGCAGTGCTTGATAGAGATGATTTCTCCTCCATTGACTCTTCCTACTTATGTGATTGTGATTCCTTACATGAAATGATTCACTCTCATTGCTTTAAATGTCTTCTACTGTGTCAAGGGTGTGTATATGCTAGGTTGCTTCAGTCGTGTCCGACTCTTTGCAACCCCATGGACTGTAGCCCTCAGGCTCCTCTGTCCGTGGGATTCTCCAGGTAAGAACACTGGAGTGGGTTGCCATTCCCTTCTCCAGGGGATCTTCCCCACCTAGAGATCGAACCCACAGTTCGTATGTCTCCTGCATTGGCAGGTGGGTATTTTACCACTGGCACCACCTAGCAAGCCCAGGTGTCAAGGGTACCCAAGCTTATATTTCTGGACATGACCTGCAGAGTTAAACTTAACATATACAAAATGAAATTCTTGGCATTCCATGTACATGTTTTTTCTCAGTAGCCCTGGAATCATTTTTTCCCTCTTATTTGGAAGACTGTTTCTTTGAAGAGCAGTATATTGTTGCTTCGAGGCTAAACCAAATCTTCTGACTTCTGTTCCTTTAGTTGTACTGTTTAAAGAGTATGGCCTTCAGTATTTCTACTTTAGAAATCTGCTTACTTGATCAGTTGTTTTTTTTTTTTTCAAGCGTGCCAGGGATGGGCTAACATTTTTCACTATAAAGTTTTTCCCCATCATCCTGATATTGGTGTTACTAACTTAACTGCTTAATTTTTAATCTCTTTCTTGGTATGTGGTAAAACACTACAGAATATACAAAGGGTCTGTGGCTATTTTTCCTGAACTGTACCTGTATTCTATATTAACACACCTGTGTAGTGCTTTTGTGTACTTTGATGTTAATATTGTTACTTCTGTGACATGCACCTGGTACTATCTCTGTCTATTATCTGATTTTCAACTTTTCCTTTGTCCTTTCATTTTAGCTGTGGCTCTTATAAATAATACATAGCCAGCTTTTCTCTGTTACTTATTCCAGAGTCCTTCAGTAGGCAGATAGGCTTATTTTTTATATACTCTCAACCTTATTTATTTATGTTGATGATTAAATAAGCACTTTATTGGCACAAATAATTCTTAACCTAAATATATAATTATCATAAAGGAGGAAATAAAAATTTTTCAGCACCCCAAAATAATCAAACATTTTGTTCTATGTTCTTCATTTATATATATATATAGAAGAGAGAAGGATGAAGAATCCAATAGAGGAAGAAAAGGGAAACAAGTTTCTAATTAACTGTTTTCAACATTATTGTTAATTTAATTGTTTTGTAAATTGATAGCATTTCCTCAAGAGCAGAGAAAAGCAATTATTCTTTTAGTACCGAGAGTGCCTGACACACAAACGTTCAGTAGATGTTTAAGGAATGAGTAAGAGGAAGAAATGATTTTTTCAGTTTTTCTTTTTTCTCTCCAAAGATTTCTATGGAAAATGACTACCTGGGCCCCCGAAGAATTGAAAGTCTACAGAAAGAGGATGCTGACTGGCAGCGGAAAGCCCACATGGCCGTGCTGTCCATTCAAGATCTTACCGTCAAATACTTTGAAATAACAGCTAAAGCTCAAAAAGGTGAGTTTCCCAGTAAAATTATCCTTGTTAGGTATTTTTAAAAGTGAGTGGAGGTTTGTTTTTTTCCTTAATGAGTGGTTTAAGTATTTTGTGTTCACAATAGTTATAGAAAAGTATATAAAGACCATTCAATCCTAGAAGTTAAAGAAGACCACTATTAACAAGTTAAGGTATATCCTTTCAGTCTTTTTCTGGGCATTATGTGTTAACATATACTCACCTTTAAAATAATTAAAAATAATGGGTATCATGTAGCAGATTTCAATTCTGACAATAAATGTTTGAAGTTACAGAGCTCACAGCTTAAAGGCAAAATTCCCAAGAAGACTGTCTTCCCTTTAGACACTACTTGCAAATTTGGGGTGTCCACAGGCCATCTGTATTTGTAAACAGTAGGCTACAAATTTAGCGGTTTTGCTACAGCCCTTTTAAGTTCGAAAAATTCACTACAGTGACTCACGGAACTCAGGAAAACATAGTTCCCATTACAATTTATAAAAGATAGAAATCAAGGGTTTCCCTATGACTCAGTGTAGAGCATCCGCCTGCCAGTGCAGGGGACACGGGTTCTATCCCTGATTTTGGGGGATCCCGCACACCACAGAGCAGCTAGCCCCATGTGCCACAACTGCGAGCCTGAGCTCTAGAGCCCGGGAGCTGCAGCCGCTGAGGGCCGCCTGCCCGAGAGCCCGTGCTCCGCAGTCAGGGAAGCCGCCTCCGTGAGTGCGGCTCCAGTGACCGCAACGGGAGAGCAGCCCCCGCTGGTGCACCTGGAGGAAAGCCCGCACGGCGGCGCCGGTCAGCACAGCCAGAAACAAACCAGGAAGCTTCTTTAAGAAACATGGAAATAAGCCAGATGAAGAGATACAGACAAGGTCTGTCTGTCCAGGTACATTTCTTCCAACTCCCTTCCATAGGAGGCCACAGAAATCTTTCCACCACTCTCTGAGAAGCAGTTTGAATTATTCATATTCATATAGAGCATTCTATATTCATAATTTTCTGTTACCTTCATATTCCTGAACTGTTAGAAAATAATTTCCAGTGAAGTGAGCAGCAGTTAGGTGAAAGAATACATTCTGTCAAAATATGTTGATAGACAAAGTATTGACTAGCTCTTATACTAGGTAACAACATGAGACTGAATTAGGACAGGAACTGCTCTATATACATAGTCCTTAAGTGGAAAGCGAGAGAAAAGGCTCCAGACTCTTTTTGCTTTTACAGAATGTTTGGCTTTATTAAGTTGTGATTATGCTGCTGCTGCTGCTAAGTCACTTCAGTCGTATCCAACTCTGTGCGACCCCATAGACAGCAGCCTACCAGGCTCCGCTGTCCCTGGGATTCTCTAGGCAAGAACACCGAAGTGGGTTGCCGTTTCCCCCTCCAATGCAGGAAAGTGAAAAGTGAAAGTGGAGTCGCTCAGTCATGTCTGACTCTTTGCGACCCCATGGACTGCAGCCTACCAGGCTCCTCCATCCATGGGATTTTCCAGGCAAGAGTACTGGAGTGGGTTGCCATTGCCTTCTCCTGTGATTATAGATTCAGGTAAAAATGAGGGAAGTTGCAGACTAGGTATTTAAGCAACTAGTTTAACTTTCCTTGATTTAAAGCCACCAAAACTCCTCAGTTTCACATATCTGTGTTGAAGGTGTTGATAATGCCACCATGCCTATTCTATAGGATTGCTAGGCAGATAAATAGAATACATGGAAAAAGTACTTTGAAATTAACATAGCATTGTGTTATTATGAGTGATTGTGGTTGTGTGTGCATGAGGGAGAGAAGAAACAAAACAGATCATGTATTTGGTTAATATTGCTATGTAAAGTGAGAAAAACACTTGAATATATATTATCCTCTCATTTAATTTCCACAAGTCTTCCAAGGAGGTGCTGTATTTCTTTAACGTTTATCATTCAAGGGAATTTAGCCCAAGAACAGTTAAGTTTATGCCTTAAGTTACATGTTGATGGGTACAAGTGGGAATTTAACTCCAAGCTGTCTCCTAACCTCCTGCTGATGTTTTTTACCCTACAGAACACTGCTATATTGATACTACAGTTGCATAAGTATTGTCATACATTTTTTGAAGGGATAGGCAGAGATTTAAAATGGCAGAATCATTTGATATGTAGGCAACATAAGTAGATGTTATTTGTTAAACCCTAAAATTAAGGATCAGATCAATGTTCAAATATGTTAGCATTTAAAGGCCACAGAAAAACAGAGAAACCAAAAGAACTATATTGAGAGACGATTCTGAGTAAGTAGATTGCTCATTTGTCATAAGAACTCAATAGATTTTTTAAGACTAAATCAAGAAATAGTAATGTTCTTGAATGCAGGTAATTACCAAGAGCAGGTTCCAAGTTGGTTGCATTTGGTCATTGGGACTAAGGGTGGAGGGAGGGAGTGGAGCCCTAGAAATTGTTCTTTTCCACTTTCAGCTTCTCTGTACAATTTTAATTTTTAAGTATGTTCTAGTATTATTGTGAAAATATTTTTAAATTTCATGAAATTCTGAGGCAGATGTTACTGAGACACTTTTTGCAAAGAGAGTTATGATGTAGTTGCAATACAAAAGTATTAATCACTTAACCTCTGAACATAAGAAACTATTAGAGAATGTATATTGACCTAAAGACTATATTAGATACTTCATAATAAGATTGCCTGCCTCTTTTATGATAATTAAAGCATGTTTCTGACCTGTTAAGCAGAAGGGACATAGAATGGTTGGATTCATTGTATAAGGACCCAAGATGAGTCAGCACCAAACAGTTAACTGATATCAGTTAAAACTTATTTAACTAGAAGATATTATCTGTTTGATTGTCAAGAAATGTTTCCTGGATGAGGCCTCTGTTGTGGCAAACTGGAAGTTTTTCCTTTTTTGTGTGGTGGCCAGAAGTTGGGTGTCTTCCTTGGGGCTTAACTGAACTCCAACAGTAACCTTAGCAGCATAAACTTCATGATAATGTCTAGACACTTATTTCACTGTATATCATATCATTAAAATACTTTTGGAGAAGGCAAAAAGTACATGAATTTAAATAATTTTTAAATAACTTTTAATAGTTATGGTTCTGATTTCAAATAACATACCTCAGAAAAGATATGAACCTTCACAGAATAAAGTTTTATAGAAACTTTGAAATTTAATAATACTGGAAAATGTGAAAAGAATATTTTTAAGTAAGTTTTAAAGTTAACCTGAAAACTAAGTTTCATCTTCAGAGAGTTATTTCTCAGGACGATTATTTAAAATTCTTATTGGAGACTTAGAATCTAAGATAGTATTGATTTATATAGTTTATAGGTATTTTATCATGTTATAGGTAATCTGTCATGAACTGGTACAGGTAATTTATCATGAGGGTAGGATTTGTGTGCTTATCTTTGAGTGGGTGATCATTGCAATCTTAAGACTTCCAAATTCTTTAGTATCAAGCTGTTTCATGTCTTAATGTCCTTTTTAAATTATCAATAGCTGTGTATGATCGAATGCGAGCAGATCAGAAGAAATTTGGTAAAGCGTCATGGGCAGCAGCCGCTGAACGTATGGAAAAACTTCAGTATGCAGTTTCTAAGGAGACTTTGCAGATGATGAGAGCTAAGGAGATCTGTTTGGAACAGAAGAAACATGCTCTAAAAGAAGAGGTAACAAAAGCCATGAGAAAAATATATAAAAAATTATTTTTAATTAGATGTGCTATATTTGGTACAAAACTTAAATTTCTCTGACCCTCCGGGCAGCACTATCTTCATGAGGTGATGATAACTTTCACAATGGGGCCTATGATAGAATTCGAGTTATCATATTTTCACAGTATCCCAGCGTGACTGTAGGCAGCAGTTGTTAACAATTGTTAAAAGAAAAAGGGGCACTCATTTCCTATCCCCCCTTCAACTCTCACCATACCTTGGCAACTATTTTCTCTCTTTAGATTTGCTATTCTGGACATTTTCTGTAAATGAAATCATAAGACGTGATTTTTTCATGCTTTTCGCCCCACATGATGTAATATTTTCCAGTCTATCTGTGCTGTGGTGTGCTTCATTGCCCGGTCTACTTCTTTTTCAAGTGAGACCCCACTGCATGGTTATACCACACTGTGCATTTATCAGTCGATGAGCTTTTGGGTTCTTTCTGTTTTTACAGCTTTATGAATAAAGCTGTTACGAACATTTTTATACAAGGTTTTCCTTTATCTTGGTGTGAAATGCTGTTTAACCTTTTGAGGAACTGCCAGACTGTTTTCCAAACAGCTGTACCATTTCCATCCTCACCAGCAGTGTACAAAATGATAGAATTTCTACACATCTTTCTTTACATGATCACTAATACTGTCTTTTTTGTTTAGCCATCCTGGTGGGTGTGAAGTGGTGTCTTGGGGTTTTGATTTGCATTTCTTTGATGCATTTATGTCTAGTATCTTTCTGTGTGCTAGGCCACTTATACGTCGTCTTTGGAGACATTTCAATCCAGATCAGTTCCCCATTTAACTTTTTTTTTCATGGCCTGTGGATCTACTGGAAAGCTAGGGAGCTTCCTAAGTTCTTTACATATTCCAGATACAAGTCTTTTATCAAATATATGATTTGTAAGTGTTTGTTCGCATTCCGTGGCTTGACTGGATTGGCTTCTAATATGTATCTGTGAAAGTTGTACATTCTACTCTAGAGAAGAACAAAATGTCATCACTGCTTTTATTAATATAGCTTTATGTAAAACACATTGCTTTATGAGTGTGCATATGCATGTCTAACTCTTGTTTTAAAAAGACTGTATGAGGTAATCCATAATATATTATGGCCCTGATCTAGAAAGATCTTTTGTTAATGGATTTATTTTTCCCTCTGCTTATTTGCTACTGTTGTTAAAGGAAAAGGTAGAACTTGTTCTGAACTTTTTCACACTATTCAGAATCTCTTACAGATTTTAGCTCCATCTCTTCTTCATCTGAGGCATTGCCACTCTAACCTTTGCTAGTTAGCTTTCTCCTTTATGTTTCTAGATATTTCTTAAGTTCTAGAACTTTAAAACTTGAAATACTAGCATTTTATTGACTCTGAAATAGAGTGCTACTCTTCCATCACAGTGACTAGCTTTATTCTAACCAGGATGAATAGTACTAACAACATAGGGTGTCTAAAAGAGCTAGGTTTATAACTGTTTGCTATTGCAAGAACATTTCTTACTAGAATTGGTCTCTTGTGGTAGAGGAAGGGCGAGGCTGAAATGGGCCAGGGAGTTTGGCATTTATCAGTGGGGTCATTTTCCCCGGGGTCATCCCAGAACCATAATAGTCTGTTTTGAATGTTCTGGATTATGTTTGAGTTCTTCAAAGGATTTGGTAAAACTGTCCGTCATTCTTGCCAGGTTTATGCTTGTTGAGTGATATAATGTATGCATTGTGATTTTTATATACATCTGTGATGATGACTGCACAGTTTTATTAGTGTTAATTTAACACAACCACATGACTCATGAGACAGAGACCAAATGTGATTTATTAAACCCATCCCAAACAAATCCCTTGCTTTACAGTCCTACCCTGTGGTTTAAATTATGAAAGTGAAAGTCGCTCAGTCATGTCCTACTCTTTGCGACCCCATGGACTTAATACAGTCCATGGAATTCAGGCCAGAATACTGGAGTGGTAGCTTCTCCAGGGGATCTTCCCAACCCAGGGATCAAACCCAAGTCTTCCACATTGCAGGCAGATTCTTTACCAGCCTAAGAATACTGGAATGGGTAGCCTATCCCTTCTCTAGTAGATCTTCCCAACCCAGGAATCAAACCAGGGTCTCCTCCATTGCAGACTGATTCTTTACCAACTGAGCTATCAGGGAAGCCCTGATAAATTATGAGGAGATGTTTTAAAAAATGTTGATATGTTGCATCTCCTTAGGTTATTTTAAAAACAAAGACTTCTTCCAGATGTGACAGTGGTACATTACATGATACAATGCTGAACTTCGAATAACTTTTAAATTAACATTGAAATATTAAATATCACCCAGGGAAGCAAAATCCTATTTGATTAAAATTTTAACTACACTTTAAGTAATATTCTTTTTAATTTATCTCCCTTTAACTGAGTCTTGATTATAATCTTTCTCACTCTTTTTAGGTCATAGACTCTTCTGTTTGTAAATCTGAAATCGAGAAACACTCAAAAAAATACATGTACACACAGCTTTGTACACAAATTTAGTAGGTTCTTAAATCATCTGTACCTGAGCCTTTGACCCCAGATTGTCTGCCAGTGTTCAGTTGCTTCATGGATTCACCCAGTCTGATCAGTTAGAATACACTTCCAAACTAACTTGATTTCTTGTTCTCTCCAACTAGATTTGTCCTTATTTTTATTTTCAATGCAGATGCAGAGTCTACAGGGTGGTACAGAAGCCATAGCTCGATTGGATCAGTTAGAAGCTGATTATTATGATCTGCAACTTCAGTTGTATGAAGTGCAGTTTGAAATCTTGAAGTGTGAAGAGTTACTGTTGACAGCACAACTGGAAAGCATCAAAAGACTTATATCAGGTATGACGTATATCTAACAACACAGATCCACAAAATACTTTTGAATGAATGATGGAATTTCCCCATGTAGTTGTTTGCTTGGATAGGAAAAATGTACATGGATACTACTTTATTTCTTCTGTTGAGGCTAAAAAAACTTAAAGTCAAACAAGTGATTTAGTAGATGTAGCAGTTCAACTATGATCTTACCTTTGTAAAGTACTTTCTAACTTGCTTTGTTGCTTCAGCCAGAATCTGTACTCTCACTGTACTCTCAAATTTTTAATTTGGGAGACAAAGTTCATAGCTTTTTACATTGAACACTTAACTCTGTTACAGATACTGGCACACACATCCTCCCTCTGAGGTGTATTTCCTAATAATCACAATTTTACAGAGAAATTCAAGAGGTAATAGCATTGCTTGAGGTTACAGAATTAGTGAGTGGAGAAGAGCCTGTCTGGCTCCATAGCCCATGCTCTTAACCATTGCCCCTTGTTGCTGTTTTGTGACAGAAAAGAGAGATGAAGTGGTATACTATGACACTTATGAAAGCATGGAGGCCATGCTGGAGAAGGAAGAGATGGCAGCGTCTGTGCATTTTCAGAGAGAAGAACTACAGAAACTTCAGCAGAAAGCACGCCAGCTGGAGGCAAGACGTGGACGGGTTTCGGCCAAGAAAGCATACCTCAGAAATAAAAAGGTATAATTGCTTGACTGTAACCTTAATTTACATCTTGCTTTTATTCATTGCTTAATCCTTGACCCATATCTAATAATTCTAACCTGATTTGTCACTAATGCTTTTGCATACCTTTTAAAACTAAGTAAGAATAATGTCTTCTCAATACTTGAGCCATTATATTGACATATGGTTGTCAGAGAATTACCCTCTTAAACTTGTTAGAACAGCCAGTGGTGATGTGCTGTTTGCCCCAGCCACCCAGAGGTGATTCTGCTTGGGCATGACTACAGGACTCTATGTGATGCAAATCCTGGCTCCTTTTTATTTAAGGAGGTCAGGGGTGCTCTATAATTAAGTTGACTGGTTCTAACCTCACTCTTCAAGGAAATTTTTATTTACGTATACAAGAAATTCAAAAAGGCAAAATAGTTGTCTGAGGAGGGCTTACAAATAGCTGAGAAAAGAATAGCAAGGAGAGATAACAAAGCCTTTCTCTGTGCTCAATGCAAAGAAATAGAGGAAAACAACAGAATGGGAAAGACTAGAGATCTCTTCACCAAAATTAGAGATACAAGGGAACATTTCATGCAAAGATGGGCACAGTAATGAACAGAAATGGCATGGACCTAACAGAAGCAGAAGACGTTAAGAAGAGGTGGCAGGAGTACACAGAAGAATTGTACAAAAAAGACCTTCATGACCCAAATAATCACGATGGTGTGATCCCTCACCTAGAGCCAGACATCCTGGAATGTGAAGTCAAGTGGGCCTTAGGAAGCATCATTACGAACAAAGCTAGTGGAGGTGATGGAATTCCAGTTGAGCTATTTCAAATCCTCAAAGATGATGCTGTGAAAGTGCTGCACTCAATATGCCAGCAAATTTGGAAAACTCAGCAGTGGCCACAGAACTGGAAAAGGTCAGTTTTCATTCCAATTCCAAAGAAAGGCAATGCCAAAGAATGTTCAGACTACCACACAATTGCACTCATCCTACACACTAGCAAAGTAATACTCAAAATTCTCCAAGCCAGGCTTCAACAGTACGTGAACCGTGAACTTCTAGATGTTCAAGCTGGATTTAGAAAAAGCAGAGGAACCAGAGATCAAATTGCCAACATCTGTTGGATCATCATAAAAGCAAGAGAGTTCCAGAAANGCAAGGAGATCCAACCAGTCCATCCTAAAGGAAATCAGTCCTGAATATTCATTGGAAGGACTGATGCTGAAGCTGAAACTCCGGTACTTTGGCCACCTGATGTGAAGAACTGACTCATCTGAAAAGACCCTGATGCTGGGAAGGATTGAAGGCAGGAGGAGAAGGGGACAACAGAGGATGAGATGCTTGGATGGCATCACCGATTCAATGGACATGAGTTTGAGTAAGCTCCAGGAGTTGGTGATGGACAGGGAAGCATAGCATACTGCAGTCCATGGGGTCTCAAAGAGTCGGACACAACTTGAGTGCCTGAACCGAACTGATAAAAGTGTATACCGATTTAATTTATCGTTTTCACTCTTTATTCTTCTATTAAACTAAATCTGAGGTAGGGAAACTTAGCCGTATAGATTCTGCACATTTAAACTTTGTCTCTGATCTCCTGTGAGTGATTGCACCATATAGTCAGGGCTCTACAAATGATCTTGTCCCCTGCCTTCCCCTTTCCCTGTCCCCAGACTCCCAAGTTCAACAGCTGAGGTGACGGAAATGCAGGGCAAAGGAGGAGTGACAGAAGGCTGGCAAGAGAGGAATTAGAAACACTGTCGTAGAACCATGCATACTGTTCGACAGATAAGATGACTCTCTCTGTAACAGCACCCTGCATCCCTTGTTGTCTGCATTTCAGCATTCCCAGGGTCACAGGCTCCCCGGTTAATCTGGCATCCACGATAGAATTCCACACCCAGGGGTAGTTCTTTGGCTACAAGTAAATCACAGCCTGCCTGTCCTCTTGAAAGAACAAAGATGATCTCTGACTGTCCCATGAGGACATGAGGTCTATCCTTTGTGATTAAACTTTTCAGGAAGAATAAATAGAAACAACATTGTTCTTTTATATCTTAATTCTCCCAATAGCCAAAAAGCGTTCTCATACTTGAACATTCCTTTATCCTATTTACTGTGACTATTTCACTGCAAAAATGTTAGTGATACTTACTGTGAGGTATTGCTTTGGATCCTGCTGGAGTTATTGGGCAAACGATGGCATATGCAACATTTCACCTTTCTAAAATAAAAATAATTTTGAAACACACCTGAGCTCTGTTCTAGATAAGGAATTATAGACTTGTATCCTCATTTTTATAACCAAGGGAACTAAGTCTGCCCAAGGGAAAGTGGCTAGAATGGGTCAGAGATAGGATTGCATCCAAGGTCTGTGTGATTTGGAAACCTGTGCCTTTGTATCACTACGTCATGCCACTTTCCCTTGTGGGATTGCTTTGGAGAGGTTCATTTCATGATCATTACTTTTTAGGTAATAGAGTCAACCCAGTGTGGGTGAAGATAGGAAAGTGATAAAAACAGTTGCTTTAAAATACAGCTTCCCGGCTTGAAAGGCTACTCATATACGACTTAATGAGGTTGGAAGAGTGATCTTTTGGTATAATTTGAAAGTGTTGGAAATTGATGTTAACCCTTGTATCTCTATAGGACCCAGAGAAAATGAGGACAGCCTGGTACTACTGGAAAGCTGCTAGATGAGAGGATAGTGCATTATTTTGTAAAGAGCACATACCTCTTATTTAATATATTTTCATGTGATTAGAATTAGCATATCTATATTATACTTTCTTGTCTTTAAGGTCTCTTTTTATCTTTGAAATCTACCTATGACCAGAAGATTCAGATTTAATGATAGTGTTTAAACCAATCCTGGCAAAATCATGTTCTTTAATTCACCAGAGAGCACTTAAGAAACAGAGTTTAAGAGTTATATATCCATTTTTGTTCAGACTGTTTTAAAGAGCATAATAATACTTGGAGTCTTCTGGCCTAAATCTTCAGATTTGAAAGAGGCTTTTAAGACTCCTGTGTACCCTTCCACTCTCCCATGGCGATTCCTCCTCTTCCAAAAAAGGGAGAAACCAGGAATTATGTAGTTTAATAAACGAGTTTTTAAGGTACTAATTCATGCTGGTTTATGCTGCTTCAGTATTCCAGGTGAGAAACCAGAGGTGGCTTACTTGATATTTTATTGTGCAGGTATATGTTAAGGTTAAAATTTAATTTACTCACTTGTATTAAAAAACACATTTCATGTATTTTTAGGAAATTTGTATTGCAAAACACAATGAAAAATTCCAGCAACGCCTTCGGAGTGAAGATGAGTATAGAACCCACCACACAGTACAACTAGTAAGTTTGCATTCTGGAAAACTTAGAATAAAACTTTGAATTTTGCATATCTCAAAGTGAATAAAATCTACAGAGATTAAGAAAATGTTATAGCTAGATGTGAGCATTAGTGGGAAAATTGGTTCCAGGATACTTGCCCTGCCCACATCCTTCAGTCCCCAGAATCTCTGGATGTGCTCCAGTCCTTTACATAAGCTAGCATAGTACTTAACATATAACCTGCACACATCCTCATATATTCTTCATCTCTAGATTACTTATAATACCTTATACAGTGTAAATGTGATGTAACTAGTTGCCAGTGGGCAAATTCTTTGAATTCTGCTTTTTGGAACCTTCCGTGTTTTTTGTTTTTTGTTTTTAACCTCCCTGCATATTTTCAATCCAAGGATGTTTGAATCCAAGGATGTGGAACCCACAGATTCAGAGGGCCAATTATGTATATACTTCATTATAGCACAGTTTCCCCTACCAGTAAAATCCCACACAAGAATGTTAAATTTGTTACAGTCTGAATCAACATTGACATCATTACCACCCAGAGTCCATAGTTTATATCCTTAGTGCTTATCCATTCTGTTGGTTTTGCGAAATATATGACTTGAATCCACCATTACAGTATTGAATAATGTACTCACTGAATGTGTTCACTGCCCTAAAAATTCCCTGGGCTCCACCTCTTCATACCCTTCTCTCCACAAACTCCTGGCAACCACTGATCTTTTTGTTTTGCCTTTCCCCAGAACATTTAATTGGAACCACACACTTATGTAGCTTTTTCATATTTGCTTATTTAACTTGTAATTTGCACTTAAGGTTTCTCTGTGTTATTTGCATGGCATAGTAGCTTATTTCTTAGCACTAAATAATATTCCATCGTCTGTATGTACCACAGTGTATTTGTTCATTCACCTAGTGAAGACATCTTCCTTCCAAGTTTTGACAATTAGGAGTAAAGCTGATAATGTGGAAGTGGTTTTGTGTGTACATTAAATTTTCAGCTCTTTTGGGTAAATTGCAAAGTGTATGATGGGATCTTACGGGAAGAGTATGCTTAGTTTGTAGTAAACTGCAGACGGCCTTCCAGAGTGCCTGCACCATTTTACATTCTCACCAGCAGTGAGTGGAGTTCCTTTCACTCCACATCCGCACCAGCATTTAATGTTGTCAGTGTTCTGGATTGTAGCCATTCCATTAAGTGTGTAGTGCTATCTCATAGCTGGTTTTAGTTTGCAGTTCCCTAATTGTATGATATTGGGCATGTTCTCACACGGCTTATCTGCCATCTGTACCTCTTCTTTAGTAAGTGTTACTTTTTCATTTTTTAAATTAGGTTATTTGTTTTCTTCAGGATAATAGCCCCTTTCAGATACATCTGTTGAAAATACTTTCTCCCAATCTGTGACTTGCCTTTTCATTCTTTAACAGTATCTCCCAAAACAGACTTTTTAATTTCAATGAAATCCAGCTTACCAAATGTTTCTTTGATGTACCATTGATGTTGTATCTAAAATGTCACCACCAAACCCAAGGCCATAAATTTTCTCCTATGTTATATTCCACAAGCTTTATAATTTCCCATTTTACATTTAATTCTGTGATCCATTTTTAGTTAATATTTGTGAAGTGTGTAAGGCTAAATTTGTCTTCCCCCTCCCCATTTTCTTCTTTTTTAAATGTGGATGGCTAGTTGCTCTAGCACCATTTGCTGAAAAGACTGCAATTTTTCCATGGAATTTTCTTTGCTCCTTTAAGGATATATTGATTATATTTGTTCGAGCTCTCTATTCATTTCCATTGAGCTAGTTTCTTTTGCCTCTCCAAAAAAACTTTAAAATAAGATCTGAGATTTTGATTAAGATAGCACTGCATGTATAGCTTAAGATGGGAGTAGTTGAAATCTTAACAGTAGTGAGTCTTCCTATACATGAACAGAGAATCTCTTTATTTAGTTCTTCTTTGTTTTCTTTTATAAAAGTTATAAGAGTTATAAAGGTTTATAAGAGTTATAAAACTACATATAGTTATATATGGGCTTAAATTGAAGAAAGGAAAACCACTAGTAGGGAAAACCACTAGAAGGGAAAACCACTAGACTATTCAGGTATGACCTAAATCAAATCCCTTAGGATTATACAGTGGAAGTGACAAATAGATTCAAGGGATTAGATCTGATAGACACAGTGCCTGAAGAACTATGGATGGAGGTTCAGGACATTGTACAGAAGGCATTGATCAAGACCATCCCAAAGAAAAAGAAATGCAAAAAGGCAAAATGGTNTTCCATCATAATTAGGGGTATGTTCATTTCTCTTTGCAGGTCTATCATTTTTGGTGTTTTATACATTGAGACTGTGGAAAATTCCTAAAGAGATGGGTGTAACAGACCACCTTATCTGCTTCCTGAGTAACCTGTATGCAGGTCAAGAAGCAACAGTTAGAATCAAACATGGGACAACGGACTGGTTCAAAATTAGACAAGGAGTACATCAAGGCTATATATTATCACCCTGCTTATATAATTTGTATGCAGAGTACATCATGCGAAATGCCAGGCTGGATGAAGCATAAGCTGGATGCAAGATTGCCGGGAGAAATATCAATAACCTCAGATATGCAGATGACACCACTCTCATGGCAGAAAGCGAAGAGGAACTGAAGAGCCTCTTAATGAAGGTGAAGGAGGAGAATGAAAAAGCTGACTTAAAACTCAGCATTGAAGCATCCAGTCCCATCACTTCATGGCAAAAGCATGGGGAAACAATGGAAACAGTGACAGATTTTATTTTTTGGGGGCTCCGAAATCACTGCAGATTGTGACTGCAGCCATGAAATGGAAAGATTCTTGCTCCTTGGACAAAAAGCTATGACCACCCTAGACAGCATATTAAATAGAGACATTAATTTGGTGACAAAGGTCCATATAGCCAAAGCTATGGTTTTTCCAGTAGTCAAAAAGCTATGACCACCCTAGACAGCATATTAAAAAGTAGAGACATTAATTTGGTGACAAAGGTCCATATAGCCAAAGCTATGGTTTTTCCAGTAGTCATGTATGGATGTGAGAGCTGGACCATAAAGAAGACTGAACGCCGAAGAATTGATGCTTTCAAACTGAGGTGTTAGAGAAAACTCTTGAGAGTCCCTTGGACTATAAGGAGAACAGACCATTCAATTCTAAAGGAAATCAGTCCTGAACATTCATTGGAAGGATTAATGCTGACGCTCCAATACTTTGGCCACCTGGTGCAAAGAACTGACTCACTGGAAAAGACCCTGCTGCTGGGAAAGATTGAAGGCAGGAGAAGGGGACAACAGAGGATAAGATGGTTGGTTGGCATCACGATTGATGTACATGAGTTTGAGCAAGCTCCAGGAGTTGGTGATGGACAGGGAAGCCTGGCATGTTGCAGTCCATGGGGTCACAAGGAGTTGGACACGACTGAGTGACTGAACTGAACTGAGCTGATAGTTATATATATAAATATCCATCAATTCATACCTAAACATGTCTGAAAGTTTTCTTTCCATATAGATCTTGTACCTATTTTATTAGATTTATACCTAAATTTGTCTTCTTTTTTGGGGTGTGCCAAGAATTGATGCTTTTGAACTGTGGTGTTGGAGAAGACTCTTGAGAGTCCCTTAGACTGCAAGGAGATCCAGCCAGTCCATCCTAAAGGAAATCAGTCCTCTGAAGATTCATTGGAAGGACTAATGCTAAAGCTGAGACTCCAATACTTTGGCCACCTGATGCGAAGAACTGACTCATTGGAAAAGACCCTAATGCGAAAGATTGAAGGGGGAAGGAGAGGGGGACGACAGAGGATGAGATGGTTGGATGACATCACCGATGCGATGGACATGAGTTTGAGTAGGCTCTGGGAGTTGGTGATGGACAGGGAAGCCTGGCGTGCTGCAGTCCATGGAGTCAAACAGAGTTGGACACAACTGAGTGACTGAACTGAACTGAATGTAAATAGTGCTGTAGGTATAATATAAAAGGTTTTTTATTCCAGCATTTCATTATTGTTTTATTAGAAAGAAGTTGGCTAATTGGTTTTTATACTAGGTTAGCCTAATTTGTGGTCAACCCAATATGTCAACCCTGTACCCTGCAATTTTCCTATTATTAGTTCTAGTCATATTTTTTGGTTCTTCTTTCAGATTTTATATATATATATAGTCATGTCATATGCAAATAAAGGCAGGTTAGTTCTTTTGAATGCAATTTGTATACCTTTTATTTATTTTTCTTATTGCATTCACTAGGATTTCCAGTGTGGTGTTGAAAGGAGTGGTGAGAAATTTGTCTTTTCCTGATCTGTTAACAAGAAAGCTTCTAATTTGTTGTGATTGAGTGATGTTAGCTGCTGCTGTAGGGGTTTGATGTTTTCCCTCAAGATCATTATGGCACACAGCTAAAACTCTTGAATTTAAACACATAAAAAGTAACCAAACTACCAGTAAGCTGTAAGATAATCTTAAATTACCAGAAAATTTATTGTATTTTTATTTTTCATGGGTCAAGAGCTGCTTTGTAAGGAAAGTCAGACTATGGGCCAGCTTAAGAATTCGGTGAATAAGAATGCCTCCTGTCATCACTGTTGGCACCTGCACTGTCTGCTTGTTATTAGATTCCACACTTAGAATTTGTTTCTTCTTACGTGAGGATTGTGGACTCTGATAAAATGCCAATACTTTTGTGAATGGAGTAGCCAATTAGCTTCTTAGAATGAGTAAGTGTCAAATCCTTTCTCAAAGAATTTTATGTGGCAAAGATGAGTAAAAACAAGGAAGTTGATATTGGGGAAATGTCAAAGATAAATGTCATCTGCCTCATGTTGGTAATTTTGTCTGCTACTGACTTTGGGTGGAATACCTCATTGTAGGAGAATGAATCCACCTTTCTTTAACATGCAAAGCTAGAGGAAAATGAAAGTTGGCTTAGATCAAATCTAATTTTAAACCACCTTTATCAATCTACAGATGCATACACACACACACAAGTGTATATAGCTCATAAGTTTTAACTCTCATGAGATGAACATATGCATGCAACCAGCACCCAGCTTGACAAAGTATTAACAGAAACTCAGAGCTCCTTGTGTCACCATCTAAGAAGTATCCTCTACCCACCCCCAAAAGGGTCGACTGAGTGATTAATATACACCACTCCCTTCCCAAAGGGTAGGTTATCTTCATTAAATGACTTGCCAGTAGCTAGCAAGGGGTGGAAATAGGGGGTGATATTCAACCCAGGCCTGTTGGTTTCAGTTGCAGTAATACTGTGCTCTGTGAAAAGTCCATATAAACCCAATAGTTCATACCTGAACATGTCTGACACTTTCCATTTGGGGTCTTTTAGATAATAGTAAGATCTGACTCTGGATATATCTGCTAACAGACCAGCAATATGATTGACCAGTTTTATTTCTGAATTTCAACTATTTCTGAAACTCCAACTATTTGTTTATGTTTAGAGATGCAGATTCACAGTTTGAAATGCTGAGTATGTTTTAGATAACTTAATTTTTTCCTCAAGTACTAAGCCCTGTATTCATTAGATTGTACCCTCTAAGTACAGAAAACTCTATTCATCTCTGAGACAAGGCCTTGGAAGACCCTTTGTCCCCAAGCATTCTGTGGCTTGTATCCCAGTGTGGGAAGGGACATGCCCATTCCCATTCCAGGTGGTCACCACATGTGCATGTGAGAGTTCTTCATTCCTTCCTTCTGCTGGCTCAGCTTTGTAAATGGAACTGAATACAGAGTAGGGGTGAGGAGTTGGAATAAGTTCTTGCCTCACTCTGTCCTTGAGCCATTCTGGGCTTTCCTCTAAAGGAGAGAATCTGCATGGGATCTTTATTTCTTTTAATGAACTCAAGTCATATCTTTTCAAATTTTCCTATCTGGAAACTTTAAGCATTATATATAGCAATCTGGACTGCCTGACTTAACCTACCAGTAAATGGCTTTTGCAAACTCCAGCAGTGAGAGCCCTCTAAAGGGAAAGGGTCTTCTTGACCTGCCACAAGAAGAGATGGAAGAATGTTCATCTTTACTCACCCCTGCCCCACCCTGATCATGAGTCCAGAGGCTGATTAAAGAGAGAAACCGGTCTCTGCTGTGTGTGAGAGTGCACCCCTCTGGGGAGGTGGTTGCCATAGCAGCACTCTGCAGCGCATCCCGTCCACAGAACCACGGGTCTGTCCCCTGACCTTCAGTGGTGAGGCAGCACCTCCTGCCAAGAGTTCCACTTTCTTTCTCTAGGAAGAGGAATTCATGTTTCACTTGACCAACGTTAGGTGGATGATAGTGTATTCCCAGTTTGGGATTAGGGAATGGGAAGGAAAAAAAAATGAATGAGATATTAAGACACAGATTTGTAGCAGGAGGTACAATATGGTTCAGTAATAGTAGACATTATCTGCAGAACACCAGGCTTAACCTATATATAATATCTAAATTACTAACTGGTTATTTTTTATTTTTAAGGTCAACTATTAATATTTGAGTTAGAATAGAGCAGCTAAAGCTAGAACCACAAATATGAAATATTTTTCAGTTCAGAAAAAATGTTATTTTACTTTGCAGAGTAAACATCTTTTAATTGGTATTACATGCAGAAAGTGAAATAATTTCATTTCTATTAAAGCTAACTGTTTCATGCCACAAAACATTGCTTAACATATCATTCTTTGGAGTAATACAGCATATATATTGAGAGAACTCTCCTTTTTTTCTATTAATGATAAAATACAGTGGGACACATCATAATGGAATTACTGTTAATTTTTTTTTAACCAGAAAAGAGATAAATTACATGATGAAGAAGAAAGAAAAAGCGCCTGGGTTAGCCAAGAAAGACAGAAAACACTGGATAGACTTCGAAATTTTAAACAGGTAGTAAAAGTGCGGTTAATTTATTATTATTCATTGCTTTTTAAACCGAGCTACATACATACTCCTACTGTAACATCTCTTTGATGAGAAAAATTTGATTTTCCTTTTGTTATTTAGAAAACAATTACAATCACAGCAGTCTTGGCTTACCATTTCTGTGGTATAAGAGGAATAGTCGGGCCTTTGGGAAGTCTGGATTCCTCTTGAGTTTAATAAAAGTTAGCTAGTAACTAACCATCCATTTCAAGCATCAACTTGTTATTAATTCTGTGCACATCAGACTGTGGTAGTAATCTGACCAGTGGGAGAATTAGAAGATGATCAGTATACATGAGAAATGCCTTAGCAGGTCTCTTGCCAAGCTATTCCATGACTCCAGACACTGACACTACAGCAGCTAAGCGTTTCCTAGGAATGTGCTTAAACTCGGTAGTTTTAGTTCTTAGCAGCTACCCAAGAGCCTTACTTCTCCTCTTTATTCTGAAGGATCTCCTTGCAGGAGGAGGAGGCTTTTGAGCAAGTGAAAGAGTAAGGTGGGAATGGGCTCCTTAACAGAGGAATAAGCCTTGTATTAAGAAAATGTTGTTTACCAAATGCATTATGGGTGTGTTGTACCCTAGTAAAAAGATTGCAGCTCTGTGTATTAGTACTCCTAACATATTTTATCATTTTCTTTTTTTTTTTTAGTAGGTTGATTCTCTTGTCATTTTTTTAATTTATTTTTTAATTGAAGAATAATTGCTTTACAGAATTTTATCAGAAAATGCATATATTGTTTTCAGAGCTTTAAAAAAATACCACTTAACCATTTAAAAACATTAATGTTTTAATTTTTGTCTGAGCATTTGGAAAATACATGTAAAAAATTAAGAATAGTTTTTTAGCAATAAAATAGCATATATATGTTTGACATCATTTGTTTTGAATTTTACACTGCTAATATTTTTCCACTTAAAGTAGTACTTTTATTACTAAGGGTCTTTTTATAAGGATTTGATAAGCAAATAAGAGTTTGGTGATAATTTTTTGTAAGGTATTACATTGTGATGTTTGTTTTTCTGTATATTTTCCCCTGAAAAATCACAAAAGCTCTAAAATAACACCTGGCATTAGACGGAGAAGATAAAGTCATTTGTTCATAAATTCTAATCTAACGAGTTATACTAACTTCTGATTACTTAGAGATACCCAGGCCAGGTCATACTTAAATCAACCCGATTGCGACTGGCTCAGGCAAGAAGAAGAAGTGCAGCGGGTCCCCTGTCCTGTGAAGACCAGTGTGACGGCCCGCCAGCAGCGCTGCAGGTCGAAGAGAAGAGGGAGGGCCTGGACGGAGGAAGGGCCGCGCTCCGGTCATCACAGGCCGCGGACGCCCGGAGCCTCACCCCACCCGACGGTCCTCCATCAGCACAACTTGAAGCCACCTCATCACTTCCCAGCGGCGTGGCCGCCGAGCTGCCTCCCGCTGTGTCTCGTCCACTGTTGAACCCTGTTGACTGCAGAGCAGGCTCGGTCCCCGTCCGCCGCCTTTGCCCGTCGGTCCCGACGGCGCCCCGGAGACGCTGGAGAAAGGCCTGCCCCAGATGGAGGGGAGCGAGAAGAGGATCCCAAAGTCAGCCAGCGCCCCCTCAGCACAGCTCTTCGACAGCAGCCAGCTCGTCAGCGCCAGGAAGAAGCTCCGAAAGACGGCTGAAGGCTTGCAGAGGAGGAGAGGTGAGTTAAAAACACTGAGTTCATCTGTTGACTGAGGCATATAGTTAAAGACCATTTTTTTCCTCGGACATTACAAAGCTTTAAACATTATATTTTTTGAACATTATTTGATAGCAAACAGGTTCTCAAGGTCTCACCTTGGCAGAATTCTTACCAACCCATGTTTGCAGATGGGTGCAGACACAAACAAATGTGGGCTTGCTTGAGCTCTTAGGCATGTTTTTAAAATTTTATTTTTTGACTTGATCTCTTTGGTAACATATTTTAGGTTGCTCCTTTTATGTTAGAATCTGATTTTAAGTCTCAGAAATAAAAGGGAAGCTGTCTGGTCAGAGTAACATTGGCAGATCCATGTAACATTTGGCTACATATTTATTGAGGACTCTTGACATGTTGTATAAAGAAAGAAGAAAAGGGCATTTCAGATATGCCTTCATAAAGCTGTTTTTGAAACAGTGAATAATTTTGCTGTTTAAGAGCTTTCTTAAAAGTTAAAGAGCTTTAACTTTCATGGAGAGACTATTTTATCTGTGTATTAAATTTTAATCTAAGAGACCATCCTGTAGGATATTTCTTACCATAACCCAAGTAGAATATCATATGTGAAAGTTATTTAAAAAAACAAAATAATCACCATAATGAGCCAGAATTTAAGTTTCTTTAATTAAATGTGCAGTCCAGTCACTGTCTGAATTTAGATTGGATTTTTGTATTATGGAAACCCTTTAGGAGTCTCAGCCATAATATTACTAGAGATCATCCCCGCTCACAGCTCTCAGTCTGCTCTCTCCTCTCACACAGGAAACAATAGAAATACTAGTAATGTTAGACATGGAATTTGAGCCTTGGAACTTTTTTTTTTTAAACAAACATAATTAGTATCCCTTGTGTTCTGACAAAGTTCTGTCCATGCTTAATGGTCCCTTCTATTGATGTGCTTTCAGCTTCCTGGGCTGTCACAGTCCTGAAGTCTTAAAAGTTATACAGTTCCCCACTCTTCTTAAGCACAGTCCTAACTAACTTTGTTCTCTTCCATTTTCTAAAGTGAGCTCACCCATGGATGAGGTGCTAGCTTCCTTGAAGCGTGGTAGTTTCCATCTGAAAAAGGTTGAACAGCGAACTCTGCCTCCTTTTCCTGATGAAGATGATAGTAATAACATCCTGGCACAAATAAGAAAGGGGGTAAAATTGAAGAAGGTACAGAAGGAAGTCTTGAGAGAATCCTTCACGCTTCTGCCTGACACAGACCCTCTAACACGGAGCATCCATGAAGCTCTTAGAAGAATCAAAGAAGCATCCCCTGAATCAGAGGATGAAGAGGAGGCTTTGCCTTGTACAGACTGGGAAAACTAACAAGTAAATGGCCTTACTTTTCTTCAGTAGCATTCAGTATACAGCTTTTAATATTGGATGATGAGGTCTGTCATATTTCATTGCATCTGAGGGTCATTGTTTATTACATAGGTCAGTTAGAGCCTGGATCGTAAATTTGTAAACTTTAGGCTTTACTTCTGTAGTTTCCAGAAACATAACAAGAAAAAATGCTTTACAAAGATGTTGCTTTGTAAATGCTGTGTTTTTTTATATCCTGCTCATTAAACATTTCTTCAGTATAAGCTATAATGCAAGTAAAAAGGATAGTTTTACTCTAGTATAGTGATAGTCTTACTCTAGCTTCAGAAAAAATAGGAAAAGCTTTTTCCGACTTAGATGTGTTAGTTGCAGACTGTTACACATGTTGAATCTTGATATTTTGTTGGTTTCCCACAAAGGAATCTAATTGCATTGTGTAATTATTTAGCTCTCTAAGCCTTTAAAGTTTATCATTTATGACTTATCATAATTACTGCATTATCTACATAAAATTGTATGAATATCTTATTGAGTTACCTCTGTGGGTGTTGGTATTCTCCCAAGGTAATAGAGTTTTCCCCAATACATTTTAATAAGCTAATTTGTATAGTTATTTGGTACAAATTATGCTAAATATATAGAACTGGTAAAGACAACATAGGGGCTTCCCAGGTGGCACAGTGGCAACGAATCCACCTGCCATGCAGGAAATGCAAGAGACACAGGTTCAATCCCTGGGTCAGAAAGATTCCCTGGAGTAGGAAATGGCAACCCACTCCAGTATTTCTTGCCTGGAAAAATCCATGGACAGAGGATCGCAGAGTTGGACACAACTGAGTGAGTGAGTACACACACACAAAGATAACATATGCTATAAATCAAATAGTATATCAAATTGGTATGACTATAGCTGAAATGCTTGTACAGATATTAAATATGCACGTATATTCTATTGATCATTACGTTCTCTTGATAGAATGTTTCTATGGTCTTCACTAAAAAGGGGAAAGTAGGTGAGGCAGAGGAATGAGAAACTTATCCTTAGCACAGTTATTTTAAGAATCCCGGTGCCAAATCCTAAGAATTACCAAGAGAGCTTATTAAAAATGCAGATTCATGGCCTTCACTCCCAAAGATCCTGCCAGAGTAGAACTGATACATACGTAGTCATACATCTGGATTTTAAAAACTTACTCCAAAAAAAAACCCCCAAAACAGAAACTGTCATTAGTTCTTTAAAAAAACATTGATGTTGGAAGATACTGTTTTGGATATGTCAGAATATCACTGAAAGCAGTTTTGTCCTTCTGCGCCGTCAGAAAAAGGCTCTGCTTCCGCGCTCAGCCCTGGCCCTCCCCCGAGCAGCTGCCCCGTCAGCAGCCTGACGGGGGCATGAAGACGCTGGCAAGTGGCCGTGTGTGATCCGAGTGTGTTCCAGCCCGCGTCTGACAGTAACACTGTCCTGCTCTGGCCATGAGTCTTGGGGCTAGTGGCATCCTTTTTCCCTGTTAGGTGTGGGGGCCTTAATTATTAGTCGCATACTGCTTTTGGATCCCAAAATAATTTCAGGCTCTTTGTGCTTGTATGTATGTACACTGTGCTTCGTAAAGGAATGTGAACATGTCCACTCATTGTGTGAGTGTGTCTGGAGACTCGGGTGTGCCTGATTGGGAACCATCCCCACACTGGGTGACTGTCCCACGTCACAATGCTTGCCTCCCATTCCCTTGTCCCCTTTCGCATGTAGCCAGTCAGTAAGCTGCTAAACCTATCCAGAAACTGCTGTGTTGGCACACGATTACATAATCCCACAGCTAGAACTTCACATAAGCACGCATTTCACATAGTCAAGTGGCTTGGATGTTTTACAGCTTTGGGCTGCTAATTACCTTATATCAGTTGTTAAGAATATGTCTATAATGAATTTGTTGTTCAGCTTTTAAGTCATGTCCAACTCTTTATGACTCCATAGACTGCAGCACACCAGGCTCCTCTTTCCTCCACTATCTCCCAGAGTTTGCTCAGATTCATGTCCATTGAGTCAGTGATGCTTTCTATTAGGCTGGTGCAAACATGATTGTGGTTTTGGACTGTAAATTTTAAATCATAACTAGGTTTAGACACATTATTAATCAAAATAGGAACCATTACAATCAATACATTTTTGGCAATGAGAAATAAGTTTGTTTATTCCTAAAGTGTAAAAATCCTTGCTTTGAGATTCGATGAACTCTTAGAAAGCATTTTCTGCCTCCTGCTGGTTATGGAAGCCTTTTCCCTGCAAAAAGTTGTTGAGACGCTTGAAGAAGTGGTAGTAGGTCTGCGAGAGGTTAGGTGAATATGGCGGATGAAGCAAAGCTTCGTAGCTCAATCCATTTAACTTCAAGCGTTGGTTGTGCAATGTGTAGTCAGGTGTTGTGCAGAAGAAGTGGGCCCTTTCTGTTGGCTGTTGCCAACAGAACCTGCCAACCTGTTGGCAGGTATTGCCATTTTAGGTGTACCTCTTTGATTTGCTGAGCATACTTCTCAGATGTAATGGTTTCAGTGGGATTCAGAAAGCTGTAGTGGGTCAGACAGGCAGCAGACCACCAAATACATTTTTTGGTGCAAGTTTGACTTCACAAAGTGCTTTGGAGCATCCTGTCAGTCTTAACCACTGAGCTGGTTGTCACCACTTGTCCTATAAAATCCACTTTTCTTTACACTCTCAATACAGTTGAGCAGTGGTTCGTTGTTATGTAGAATAAGAAGATAATACTTCAGAATGATTTTTTTTTTTTTGGTCAGCTCATGAGGCACCCACTTCTTGAGCTATTTCCCCTTTATAAAATGGTTAATGTTGAGTTTTTCAGCAAATTCTCGTGCAGTTGTAAGAGGATCAGCTTTGACCTCTGTAAAACTTCTGGAACCACCACTGCACGGTACGTTCGTTCACAGTTCCTGGGTCAAAGGTGTTGATGCTGCGAGTTGTCTTCATTGCTTTTTTGAACTTGAATCCATTTTGAATCCATTTTGAACTTGAATAAGAAAATCACTCGAATTTGCTTTTTGTCTAACATCATTTCCCTAGTTTAAAACAAGTAATAAGTCATTAGCAAAAACCATAACGTGAGAAATGTGCATTAAAATGATATATAACATAACCACATTTAAGAATGTATTCCAGTACCAAATGGTAAGGTTCAGCAGTGCAGAATTGCAGTTACTTTTGCACCAACCTAATAACCATTCTCATCCTTGTCATCACCATCTCCTTCTGCCTTCAGTCCTTTCCCAGCATCAGGGTCTTTCCCAGTGAGTCGGCTCTTTGCATCAGGTGGCCAAAGTATTGGAACTTCAGGATCAGTCCTTCCAATGAATATTCAGGACTGATCTCCTTTAGGATTGACTGGTTGGATCTTGCAGTCCAAGGGACTCTCAAGAGTCTTCTCCAGCACCACAGTTCGAAAGCATCAGTTCTGCAGCACTCAGGCTTCTTTATGGGCCGACTCTCACATCTGTACGACTGCTGCTGGAAAAACCATAGCTTTGGCTGTACAGACCTTTGTCATCAAAGGGATGTCTCTACTTTTTAATAGGCTGTCTAGCTTGATTGGCAATTTGATCTCTGGTTTCTCTGCCTTTGTAAATCCAACTTGTACAACTGAAAGTTCTTGGTTCATGTACTGTTGAAGCCTGGCTTGAAGGATTTTGAGCATTACACCTTGCTAGCATGTGAAATTAGCAGTTGTATAATAGTTTGAACATTCTTTGGCGCTGCTCTTCTTTTGAAATTGGAATGAAAACTGACATTTTCCAGTCCTGTGGCCACTGCTGAGCTTTCTAAATTTGCTGACATATTGAGAATGCAGCACTTCATCTTTTAGGATTTTAAATAGCTCAGCTGGAATTCCATCATCTCCACTAGCTTTGTGCGTAGTAATGCTTCCTCAGACCCACTTGACTTCACCTCCAGGATGTCTGGCTCTAGGTGAGTGACCACGCCATCGTGGTTATCCAGGTCATTAAGCCATTTTTTTCTAAAGTTACTCTGTGTATTCTTGCCACCATTTCTTAATCTCTTCTGCTTCTGTTAGGTCTTTACCTTATATTTCTGTCAAAAGTGAATAATCCTTTGAATATTGCCTAGAATCTTCCTGTTTGGCTGATTGTTAATGACTGATATATAGTATAATGTTAAGAGGAACAGTGAAATACTGCCAGAAAATGCATGAGCTGGAACGGTGGCAGAGTAACTAAATGCATCCTACGCCAGAAGCAAACTACAGACCAGTTGTAATCCCTTCCAGTTGAGCAGCCATTGATAAAGGGCTCTGTGACACTGCCTGTGGGTGATCTTAGTCATTTTTAAAGACTCTGAATTTTTAGGTACTTTTCTACAGGTGGCTAAAAGGCTATAATTTGTATTTCCTATTAATTAGTTTCTTTCCTGTAGATTTAAAATAATATAATTATGTACTTGTTTTTGAAGAACTAATTTCTTAAAACTTCATCAAGTAAAAACTTAAGGTCCTGGACATGCTTAGCTTCACCCACCTGTAAAAGCTCATCTTAGATCTATTTAGTCATAGGTAATAGTGTCCTTGAAAGGAATTTCTAAACATAAGGAAATATATGTATTTGAATAGATTTGTTTTGTTTCCTGTAGGGCCCTTCTTAAACTTATGAAGTAACTATAGTAGTGTTGTCCAATAGAAATATGTGAGTCAGATTAAAAAAGTTAAAGATGATGGGGGAAATTGATTTTAGTAATATTTTACATGACATATTCAGTATAAAATTCCACAGTGTAGTTTAGATTTTTTTTTTTTTTTAGTATGGCATCTTTAATAATAGCACCATCTCAGTTTGGTTGCCAAGTATTCATTGGTTAAATTAAATTGCCTTACCAAAACAACCAAATTTTGCTTAATGGAAAAATATTTTATATAAGATTTTCATTTAAACCAAATTAAAATCAGTTTCTCAGTCATACTTGACACATTTCAAGTGCTCAAAAGCAACATATCAGCTTTTATCTGACAAATAGGTCATATATATATTTCTCATGTGTCGTGGATCAGTGCATGAGTCTCAAANCCATCTCATTAGAACTGATTCAAATGAATTCTTTTTAATGGCTGAGTAATATTCCATGGTGTATATGTACCACAGCTTCCTCATCCATTCGTCTGCTGATGGGCATCTAGGTTGCTTCCATGTCCTGGCTATTATAAACAGTAACAATGCCCTTTTCAAATGCATTCCAGTTTGGATTGTAAATTACATAGCTAGCTTACCTCTTGGTGTAAACTCCCTAAAACTGTTGTCTGCATTCATTCTCTCCAATGTTTCACCTTATTCTCTCTTGTGCCCCAACGACAAACAGATCTTGCCCCCACAATTCCACTACAACTTTTTCAAGGTCAACAGCCATGTTCTTATTGTTAGATCTGACTGTCAGTTTTCACTCATCTTTTTGACCTCTGAGCAGCATTTAACAGTCAACCATTCCCTTCTTCTTAAACAATGTCTTCATTAGGCTAAATTTTAGGGCACCACTGTCTGATTTTCCTTCCATCACCACTTCATGGTCTCCTGTCCTTATTTTTCCTCACATTTCTGGCCTCTGAACACTGTGGCTAAAAGGCTATAATTTGTATTTCCTATTAATTGGTTTCTTTCCTGTAGATTTAAAATAATATAATTATGTACTTGTTTTTGAAGAACTAATTTCTTAAAACTTCATCAAGTAAAAACTTAAGGTCCTGGACATGCTTAGCTTCACCCACCTGTAAAAGCTCATCTTAGATCTGTTTAGTCATAGGTAATAGTGTCCTTGAAAGGAATTTCTAAACATAAGGAAATATATGTATTTGAATAGATTTGTTTTGTTTCCTGTAGGGCCCTTCTTAAACTTATGAAGTAACTATAGTAGTGTTGTCCAATAGAAATATGTGAGTCAGATTAAAAAAGTTAAAGATGATGGGGGAAATTGATTTTAGTAATATTTTACATGACATATTCAGTATAAAATTCCACAGTGTAGTTTAGATTTTTTTTTTTTTTTAGTATGGCATCTTTAATAATAGCACCATCTCAGTTTGGTTGCCAAGTATTCATTGGTTAAATTAAATTGCCTTACCAAAACAACCAAATTTTGCTTAATGGAAAAATATTTTATATAAGATTTTCATTTAAACCAAATTAAAATCAGTTTCTCAGTCATACTTGACACATTTCAAGTGCTCAAAAGCAACATATCAGCTTTTATCTGACAAATAGGTCATATATATATTTCTCATGTGTCGTGGATCAGTGCATGAGTCTCAAAAACAACTATTTTGAATTTTAAAAAGTCCTGCTAAAAGCATCCATTTAAAGACCAATACTAACGCTGTCTTCTAAATCTCATTATGAAAACTCCCTCTGGTGTACTTAAAGATGCCATCTGATAGTTCTTATTACACTGTCAGTTTATGAGGCAAAGATTTTAAATTTTATTGTTCTTTTTTGTGTATAAGTTTTGACATAAAATATTAAAGAGTAAAAGGAAGAAAAGTGAAAGTGAACCTAACATACAGTCTTTAAAAAAAACTCTTTTCCCCAGCTTTATTGAGAGTAACTGGCATACATCACTGCATAAGTTAAACAGCATAATGGTTTGATTTACATATACTGTGAAATGATTACAACAGCAAGTTCAGCTAACCTCCATCTTAAAAGAAAAATATTCTCCTTGTGATAAGAACCCTTTTAACATCTTGCCTATATATTATAGCAGTGTTAACTATAGTAATCTTGACATGCAACCTTTTAACAGTGATTAAGATCTATTATTTTGTTTTTCACTTTTATTTGATGTTTTCTATACATCATCTGGTATAAATGGTTGTTTATAATGGCCAAATGGTATAAAAAGGCCATTTAAAAGAAAAAATCCATCATTGTTCATACTGGATTTTGCAAAGATATGGGGGAACATAATACACAATGTCTTTCATAAGCCATTCTTTTTAATACACTGTATTACTCTGTACACAGGTAAACTCAACAGAATGAAAAAACACCTACAGTTGAACATTGGCTCTTGAAAAATTGTTAACATTTGGTTCCACGATTGGATTCTATTAGATCCAAAATGTATTGACTCAGTGGTATGAAAAAGGAAGCACAACGGGCAAGTTACCACTTTCCAGTCATTCCAGTAGATGGTGGTTAACATGAGTTTAAATGTGCAATGTTCCTGACTGCAACGAAGAAACGGCCTTCTGAAGATTCCTGTTTTTAAGCACCTTCCCCACCTGTCCACCCGTGTATATCCTTGTAGTGGCCAGTAAAGCTCGGGGTCGCTATGAGTTGGAAGAAACACTGGGTTGACAGATCTACTGTGAGCTGTGTTGAGACTGCGTTAAAGTCCATCGTTCAGTGCACTGAATAGTCACCTGCTCAAGATACAGAGCTTGTTCTGTATCAGCTTAAATAGTGTGACCCTCTGAAAAAGAAGTTAATCATGATAGCTATAGGGTAGGAATTGGAAGAATCAGATGGAAATGCACTGACAATTCCCACATTATTCATCTCCAAGGGATTTTCATAAAGATGTTCAACAACATCTGAAAAGATACATAACCATGGAGGTACACCTATAAATGTGTTTACCACAACGTGATACATTTAACATGGCATATTTTTAGAAGCCCACACATGTAACAGTTTGTAAAGTTTCAAAGTAAAAATTTCCATGCTTTTAAATAGCTCTTCATAATTGTGAATTTATAATAGTTTGAATTTTATGTGCAGCTTTGTTTATGAGAAGCAATACTTTGTAATTTGATAATATTTCAAATTATTTTTAGCCTTTTCATTTGAACTATTGCTTGATTACTGTAACTTAACATGACTTTCCTATTGAGAATCAAAAATCAGGATTCAATAGTAGGGATGCAGATCTTAAGTCCTTCTAACACAGACCATATAAGTTTTTATTTTTATGTTCCACAGTGGGAGAAAAACATGCTCTACAAATGTGCAGAAAGTAGACAGGCAGAAAAGGCTCTTTGACTGGCATTTCACTCTTCACATGCTTTGAATTGAATTTTGGGAGACAGCCTTTGTTATTGTCAATAAATTTTTAAACATATGTATGTAGCTGTAGGTGCTGATTTTGCTGTAATGGAGTCCTGAAGAATGCATGGAGCCGACATGAATTCTCAGCAGGACTGCTGTGGGGCTTGAATGAAGGTAGATATGTTGGATCCAAGTTTACACTACTCTGTAAGTGTGATTCTGGATAAGACAGGTCTTGATCTGTACATGAATGGCTGATGTACCAAAATGAACTTTGAGGCAGTTCTCTGGCCTAGACCCAGAAAGCAGTCCTGGAATAAAAGTCCTCCAACGTATCTGCGTTGGTGATCCTGAAGAAAAATTACTTTCACACTTTTGTCACTTGAAAATGTTATTTCTTTTAAAATAATTATGGAGATAATTTTCTGTCAACAGGTTATATAAAAAAAGATCTGTTAAAATGTTGGTAATATATTTATTGATGAGACTATGAGCATTTTCACAATATATTGGCTTTATTCTAGCATCATTCTCACACCTTATCTGAGAATATTAGAAATACAGATTAATATAGTTCACTCAATATCCTGATTACAGTGGAGGTGGGCTATAGATTCTTGTAACACACCTTCAGCAATGCATTGAAACATGCCTTTTAACCTAATGAGTGATTTGATTGATATATTTGAAAAAAAATTCTTTTAGCACATTTGCAAATCTTAAATCATGTATCAATTTTTTGCCTTTGGTTTTTCATATCATGTTTTTTGGGGGGGATTTGTTTCATTTATTAACATTTAGAAAAATACTGGTGTCATATTAACAGCAGAAGCCCTGGAACTTTAATATGTCTAGCGGGAATTACTACCCACTTAGTATTACAGCTGGGGTTCCATCAAGAGGCAGTGCTCCCTTTTAAAAGGGTCCTGTGACCTGTTTTCCTGAGCCATGTTGTAATAAATTTCTAGCAAGTGATGCAGGGTGTTCAGATCCATGTGAATCCTTTAGGAGTGAATCCATGGCTGTAAGCACACCACCCCGGCACTCTGTGAAGTTTGTCCTCACACCTGAAGATAGAAGGTTAAAGCAGAATCTCACTAGCAGCCCCCAGTGACCATTCTCTGTAACAGCTTTCTCCAAAACATCTACTTCCCCTCCTCTAGATTCAGGTTCCTCCTTCCACAAAATTACATGTTACTGAAGGTCATCAACCTTTGGAGTTCTCACAAATAATAGAGTTTCAGATAACTGCAGTCCATTTGTCCAAATAAATCCTCATGTTAATTAAAAATCAGTTTCAGAGCCCCCCAAAATTTATATCAATTTAAGTATGGTTTCCTTTTTATCTTTGCCCCTAAAAAAATGAGCATCTCTGCCCTTAGTATTAAATTTGTATATATTTAGGTAGGATGGTGCTTATATATGATCATGTTTCCAGTTCCAGATTTGCCCATACAACTAATGTGGTTTATTTGACAATTATATTGCTGTTAATATATCATTTCCATATCAAAAATCCCCAGACAGCTGCTTGCTTATACTGAATCAATTTTTAAGTTAACTTACCAATCTAGTCTCAACTGAATATACTTAAAATAGGGAAACAAGTAGGTGGTGACTTAGTTGTTTGGAGGTTAATGTTACTGCTCACTTGAATGTCAATTTTAAATATTTCTTTTACTAATACAACTAAAATTATGTACATATAATCGAGGCCTGTATAGAAAAGGTATTCCTAATGGTTTAAAATCCTCATGGTGCTGTAGTGTAGCAGCGGTATGTGGAAGAAATACCTGGCTAAAGAAGAATTTTAAAAGAATTGCTCACGTAATGTATATTTTATAGGCTTACTGAGTCTGTGAGCAGCACAAAAACAATCATTCTTTAGTTATCCATTGTAGAACTGAGACATTTCTATAAAATGCACAGCTATAACAGTTGATCAGGAGTAGTATTTCCACAGTGAAAAATATGGGGGCTTTTCTTATATGGACACACAGAAAATTTATTACTCTGTATAATGAGGGAGGGAAAAGAAGCCTTGTTTATACAAAGCTGAAATGTGTAGCAGTATTTGTTAACTTAAGGCATGACCTCTCTCTGTCATAAAATGTGTTAGATTGAAAAGCATACTTTGGCCATAGCATGCACTAAGAATTAAAACTCTTATATCAGTGGAACAAAAATGAATGGGCAGCATCTTCTCTGTTTGAAATGGGACCAGTATACAATTAATACATTTAAATTTATACATTCCCTAAGACTGTTTTTAAATTGCATTCATTGTGTATATAAGAAAAGCCTTTTCTTTCACTAAATACAAGGTTTTCTTTTTAAACCTTTATAATTATTTTTAAACCTCTGTGACATCAGACACCAACCTGTAAAGTGCTCATGGGTTACAGGCCTTATCAGGGAGTTGAAATTTATATACATAATACCAAATTATTTGTAAAAAGTCTTTTGAACAGCTATAAAACATTTAAAAACTGTGGCAGATGCAGTTGTCACACATCCATTTGATTGTGAAAGCAGAAACCCAAACAAGTCTTACCTAATTCTTGCACTGAATTTAAATAATATAAAGTTAAATGTGCATTTTAAACATTTTATTTCCCATTTATTGGTTAGCATAGAACAATGCTTAGTGTTAGAGAGTTGATCACAAGATTGGTTTTAGATGGAAGATTGGTTTTAGATGGAAGAAAGCAGAAGCACCTTACTGTGGAGCATGTTGCATTCATTTAGTGCTGCTGAACAATTCAGTAGTGATTTCTGAACTTTGCTGCAAAGTGCTGTTTATTTAAAGCACATAAAAAGAGTCTCTGCTTAATTGCTTTGTAAAGTAAAGCAATGGTATTTTTTATCCTATAAATATAGTCTAATTTAAAAGTTTTTCCTACAAAATGAGTTTATATTGCTGCCTAAACTATCATCTATGTAAACAAAGGATTTTTTAAAAGGCGAGAGAGGGAGTCTGGATTGTGAGAGAGTGTGTGTGTGTTTAATGTTTGTTCATGGAATTATTTTAGAGATCTGTTCATTCTAAATTTTTTTGTTTTACCCACAGTAAATGTACAGCTTGATAGTGGAGGGATTTAATTGATTGAATTCCAAATTCATAAGTGTCTCTCCCCTTCTCCAAACACATGAATTACACCACTGTAAGGTGTATGTACATAAAATACCTCTGAGGCTGATATGTTAAATGTATTATCAATGTTATACTGAGTCTTAAAGCAGCCTTGTTTTGAGGGTAAGGAGAAAGTTTGGAGTTTTCTGGTCGGGTGTGACTGAGAGAGGCTCCAATTGGTGAGTTCAGGAAAGTCTCTGGAAAGTGATTTGAGATGTATAGAAAAGGTATGGGTGTTGGTTAAAGAGTTCAGTTTTAAGAAGGGAAGTTTTGTTTTTTAAACTTGCATGTTCTATGGTTAACTATCGACAAGTTATTCTGGCTTTTCCCAATACTAATTATATTGGTTTTAAGAATTCTCCATAATCACAAGATGACATTTTCCCTTCATTTGTGACCAAAGAAGGGTAGACAGTACAACCCATGCAAGTGACTTCCGACTTCCTCAACTTGGACAGGATCCCCACTGCGCCATTGAATTTCTTACTGTACTGTATGTCTTGCCAAGTGTGAAACCATAATATATAATTTATGAAGAACTGAAGGCTACCGATCCTTTTGCATGAATAAAAGCCCATTAGGGCTAATGAAACTGATGTCTTTTAGCCATTCTGGTTAAATGAAAATTTTAATGGCAAACCAGTTCACGACTTACTAGCTTTGTGCAATATTATAATGTAGAGGCAAAACACTAGCACGTTGTGCTTGGCTTTTCAGGATGGCTTTAACACCATTACACTAAAATGGACACTGTACAAAATGTATTGTAAATGGCAGCTCTTGCAGATTTACAGTACTTAAATATGCTCAGCTAACATTCTAAAGTATTAAAAGTACAGAGGGAAAAAACTAAGCATTTAGAGCAATACCATGAGATCTCCGACGATGTTCTGACTGTTGCCTTTTGCTCTTTAGTGCAACTTTCTGCGTTGTAATCACTGTGTCGCTTTGTATTTCATGTTTTTTACACTCATGACTTCAGAGTTAAGGACTTGGACAAGTATTGCAATCACCTTTCTCTTCTTGTACATGCAGCGTAACAACATACAGTTTTGGTGCTTAACAATATTCTTTTTTTCTTTAATAAAAGATATTTATTGAGTTAAGCTCATTTTGTTTGTTTAAAATCACAATGGTGGTATATAATGTCACTTCCTTTCTAATAAGAAAGAGCAAGCTATACGTTTGTTTTTACATGATGAGCTGGGTTCAAATTCTCCACCTCTGTACCTCTGCCTCTTCCTGACCTCTATTTGTGACAAAATACAGTTTAGAAATGTTTTTAGCAGTCAATTTGTGATCATCTAAATTGGGGGAGATTGTTGTCTTCACATTCAGTAACAGGACTCTTAACTAGAGCCTAGTAGGTTCCCTGAGCCGATCCTGCCGTGTTGCAGCCGGAGTCTAAACCGTCCTTCATTAACGGGCTTAGGTCTCCGATTCCACCCAGGGCCTGAGTCAGGGCTCCAGTCCCTCTCAACCCCACACAGCTCCAGTCAGTCTCATCTCCTTGGATAACTGAGTTCTTGTAGGTGGCTGTTTTTTGTTTGTTTTTTTAATCAGGGTTCGTCTCTGCTTGAGTAGATCCACATTCTTGTATTACATCCTTTTTTTTCTTCCCTTCTCCCTTCCCCAAGCCCTCATTTATAAAATGATGGGCCAAGTAGGAAATGGCACTTTTTCTGGTCTCTAGGGTTAAGGGAGCCATTTCTCCCAAGGAAGGGCCTCACTCCTTTGTATTCCCTCCATAAATGTATACGAAATAGAGGGCTTTGATTACTAGATGGTTTTACTACAAGAGTTTAGAGAATGCAGTTAATAGTGCTTTAGCCAAAATGATAGAATATCATGTTCAGCCTCAAAATGAATGGACTTAATTCAAGTCTCAACACATGGCAGTCCATCCTTGTGAAAATCATGCTGTGGCTGGTTTGGAATGGGCTTAACTGGGTGACCTACCTGGACAGGTGGAAACCTCTCCTGGAAATCTAGGCCCTATAGAATTCCTTAGTCCTTTGTGATGCTGTCATTCATCCTGACCTTGCTGAGTTCTATAAACTGGTTGAAACTTCATTAATTCTTTGCTGCAGGAAGCTGTGTGGAAGAGGTTTAAAATTCTTTGATACAAAACCACCAACATTCTATCACATTCTGACAGTTACTGAAGTTTAATCATGTTTCCCAAACACTCTGTCCTTCTGCCAAGTGGATACTCTTTCCACAGACACCCACAACTTGGCTGCTCACCAGGAACTTAGCTCTTCCTCACTGCTAACATCTTCTCCTGATCTCTTAACTAATAATCTTGCTTGTTCACAAGAGCTCACTAGTTTTACACTCTCATCATTCTCCAAACTCCGCTATTTGTCAACTTCTTAACCTCTAACAGATGACTGACGCCCCTCATTCTAGAGTTCAGACAGGCCCATCTCTAGTCATGGTCACTTCCTCCTCTCCCTCATTCCTGCCTCTTCCACCTGCTCTTCCTGCTGGTATGGATAACTTCATCAGGTACACTCAAGCCATTAAGCATCCTCCACCCTGTCATTCCAATGGCCAGGCCTTGCTTACTGCCTCCATGCTGGTTAAGGAAATCATGTACCAATGCTGCAAGGTTTTCTGTAGGTCTCCTAAGCCTGCCCCTATTATCTACATTTTTATGCTCAGCTCATGCCTTTCCACCTGCACACATGTCTAAAATGTTCTTTTGGAAAGCAAAGATGCAAAAGGAAGAATTACAGAATCTAATCTTCACAAGTCATTTGAGGCATGAGAAAGGGATTTAGGTATTGTCTGGGGGTGACAACTACTAAGTGTCAGGGAGCTTTCCTTTAACCCCCCACCCCCACCCCAGTTATTCCCCATGGCATCTTCAGCTGCCTCTCCACCCTGACCCTTCAGGTATGTGTGTGCTCAGGATTCAGTTCACACTGTCTGAGAAGAGTACCTCATTTTAGGCTAGAACCAGGTCTGAGTCTCCCTGTGTCAAGATGTGCTAGAGAAACTCTTGATCACTAAGAATTTTCAAGGATAAAAACAGAGTATCAAAGGCATCAAGATGTGACTTGAATAAAGTCAGTCCAGAAAAAACCATTAAGTTCAAACCTCTTGAGAGGCAACTTATTTTAAGACATAAATGAGTTAGAGCAGATCCCTTTGAAGTGCTTTGAGCACAACACAGGGCTAATATGCTGTGTGGATTTAGGAACTTTGTTACCTGGCGTGTAGTTCCCATGAGGAGTATCCTGGGGACACATACATGGTCACATATAAAACTCCTAGACCGCTGTATGTCTCACTTCACATGAGGTCTCCAAGCTGTAGACGCTTTGGTGCTGACTCAGCTTCAGCCACTTACCTGTCTTCATGTGCTGCTACAGCTAGGAAATTCCTGGTGACTGCAGCCAGTTTGAGTTGTTTCAATCCTGAGTAAATACCTTAGTCTGTCTATATGGTCATCTGGAGCCCTTTTATATTGAAATAATATTTTAAAGTTCTATCAAGTCATTGCAAGTCTTACAGTACTGGTTTTTGAGGAAAAGCCTTAAGCAATTAAACCTACTGCCCAATTTCTGTCAGAATAGTTTATAATCAAGAACAATTAAAAAGTTATTTATCACCAAGGGCATTGAACTTCCTCCACCAATGGATGTTTTGTGTAATTGAAGATGATAAATTTGCAAACTGCAAAGAAATCTTACATTGTTTGTAACCATTTTCCAATGGGAAGAAAATGAAGTCGAGCAGGAATCAATCATACAGTTATTCCTAAAACTTCTTATGAAAGATTTAGAATAAAAGCCCTACTCTGAATTTTTTTTGCAGATATTCTATAGTGTGTAAGTATATATTTAAGCTAGAATAATAAATTAACATTATTGACTTGGGGGAGAGGAGTAAGATGAGGGAAAGTAGCCCAACATGGGCATTTTGCAATAACAATCATATTCAAAATTACATTATGCAAAAGCCACACTATGGTTCTACTGGAAGCAGTCCAGTTGGCAACAACAGGCCATAAATGTTTTAGGCCAAGATTATCTTTTTGATGCTTTAAAGACCCAAAGCTCTGGAACCTTAATGTTGAGAGTTCCAGTGGCTCAAATCTCAATTTCAAAATTTTTTTGTCTCACCTATAGGCCACTTTGTGACCCATTTCTTTTCAAAAATAGGATGGCCTGCCCCTACAAGTGTGTGGGTCGGTGCCAGGTTTTTGAAGCAGAAGCTTAACTCTTCCAATAGCCATAAGAAGATGCAACAATAATTTCACTGTGACCTAGCACTTGCTAAAAGGTTTTTCCATTTCAATTATGGATTTCAAATATTACCTAAGCTTTGGTATTACATTAAGGTGAATCATCAGAAGGTAACACCTAGAGTATTATCTCCCCAACTCCAGCAGTGCTTTCACTGCACTATATATAAGCAAGATGATTTTATGCTTTGGTATTAACAGATGGTTGAGATGAAGCAATAAGTAAGTATTGCTAGACTTTCTTCATTGTCTTAGTACTTTCTCTGTCTTCTTACTCTCACCTTTCCTTATGGTTCTAAGTGACATTTGTGTCAATGATTCCCAATTTTATCTGTCCTATATACCTCTTCTTGGGCTTCCGTGGCTGCTCAGCTGTAAAGAATTCACCTGCAATGCAGGAGATAAGGGTTTGATTCTTGGGTTGGGAAGATCCCCTGTAGAAGAGAATGGCAACCCACTTTAGTATTCTTGCCTGGGAAATCCCACAGACAGGAGCCTGGTGGGCTTCAGTCCAGAGGGTTGCAAGAGTCGGACACGACCAGTGACTAAACCACGACAACCACCACATCTCTTCCCAGAATACTAGATCTGTGTGTATTCAACTGCCCAGTGATCTCTTGATTTGGATGCTTCAGACATTTCAAATATAACATGTCTAAAATGGTTCCCGTGATCCCCACTCTGTTAAAACCTGGACCCAACTTGTAGGGAAAGAGCAAATTAGCCAAGGTGGCATGGGCATGCACTCTTGCCCCGCAGCCTCGGTCTTGCCCCACGTTCTGTAAATAGTGATTGTGTGACAGCTGAGATCACACACAGCACTGTGCGTGTGTGTCACAGGGCTCCCTTCATCGTGGCCACTCTGGCCGAACGCCCGTACGAGCTCACCTAAAGAGCAGTGGCATTCCTGCTGCTCATGGCTGTGTCCGCTGGCTCAGCCACGAGAGGAGGGATGAGAGCGAGCCTGCTGCCGCGACTGCCGTGCCGGCCAGGAGAGAAGAAATGCCTCCGCAGTTCCTACGGCTCCTGAGTCTTCCTGCAGCCTCTTAGCTTGCGCCTTACCTCCCCTGGGTTCAGAGAACACTGCACGAGATACAGCAAGACAACTGGCGTCATGGACAGGATCCGCCATACACGACTCTTCCCAGTTTCACCTTTTTTTTTTTAACAATTCATCCAGTTCTGCGATCCAGAACCTGTAGGTACTCTCACCTTTCTCACCTTCAGCCTCCTTCTCCAGCAAGTCCTGGCCATCCTGACTCTGGCATTCACCCACTGCATTCTCTGTCCCTTCGCCCTACTGGTCCAGACCACACCCCTCTCTCAAGCAGGCTACTTCACTAGTCTCTTACCTGCTCTTTCACTGCCACTGTCTCCTTCCAACTTGTTCTCCACCCAAAAGTGCTGAGGACATGTATCTCCACTGTATAAAACCCTCCAGTTCCTTCCATTGGACTTAGACTAAAACCTCAGCTCTCCTTCCTATGGACACAAGGCCGAATGTGATTTGGTCCTTCCTACCAGCCTCGTAACTTACTCAGCTCCAGCACTGTGTATAACTGTTCACTACCTTGGGGCCTAGGCCCAAACTGTCCTTTTCCTAGAATGTTCCTTGTTTTAGTAAGGCCAACTTCTTTATGTCCCTCAAAATTCATATGTTCTGATTTACAGTATGTGTCCATTTTTGGAGACCTTAAAAATAAGGTCTTTAAGGTGGGCCTTATTCTACTGTGACAGGTATCTTTATGAAGTGGGGAAATTTAGACATAGACACATATAGAAGGAACATGATGTGAAGGGACGTAAGGAAAGGATGGTCCCTCTTTGACCCAGTTGAAATGTGTGTATCCTTGAATCAGAAGACACATGCAAGAATGTTTATAGAAGCATTGTTCCTAATAGCACAGAACCCAATAACCCAAATGTTCATCAGCTGATGAATGGACAAACTGATACACCCCTAAAATGTAGTATGGTCATACGATGGAGTACTATAGGGTAAAAATGAAGATAGCTTCACGAAACAGTTTGGACGAATCTCACTGACAAAAAGTTGAGCAAAAAGCAACACTATCTAGTATATGATTCCAATCAAAAGTTTTTTAAAAATAAGCAAAACCATAGTGTCTAGGATATTATTTAGGTGGTAAAACAATAGCCAAAAAAACAAAGGTGATTGGCACAAAAGTCATGAGAGCTGTGCATCTGGGGGAGAGGAGAGCTTTATGACTAGAAAGGAGCACAGAGAGCTTCCGGGGGGCTAAGCTTTTATTTTTTACCAGGGCAGTGGTGAGGTGGGGTTCGTTTTATAATAATTCAATAAGCTGTGCATTTGTTTTATATTTTTCTGATTATGTATTACATTTCCAATAAAAAAAGGTTTTTTAAAAAACCCTAGTGTAGAGTTCCTTTATTAGAATTCTAGAAATTGCTTTTAGAATTCGGTTGCCAAAAACTTCTCTCTGCAAAATAATTTGCATGCTCGCTCTACAAAACAATGAGAACCATATAATCTAACATTTCACTTTTTTCCATTAGTTGACAGGAAATCAGAGTCAAATTTAGTATTTAGTTCATCTCAGACTTCTTATCTACACAGCTTCTTTTAATTGGCTTTTCCTTTAATTGGTGTGTGTGTGGTGTTTGAAACTGTCTCTGGGTATTTTAGTATTGTAAATTTCCTCTGGGGAAGTAGGTGGGAAAAATCTTTTGAAACTTCATCAAAAAGAGGAAAAAGATTTTGCAACAGAGCATAGCACAGTGGTTAAGAGCAAGGATTCTTGGTATACCTGCTAGATGTGTGAATCTGGACAAATTACATTCTGTGCTCCAGTTTGTTCATCTCCAAAATAGAGACAATAATGATACGAACTTCATATGGTGGTTGTACGAGTTAAATGCGTGCATAGAAGAATGCCTGACATATATGAATGTTAGCTATTATTATTTGGAAGATCTGATAGAAAAATCCTTCACAAAGAACTACAAAGATTTGAGTAGTTTAGAAGCAAGGACATCTGAGAGTAGAACAGATGTCCTGGATAATCTGAGAAAGCAGCCATAACCATACACATTTCCTTCTTCCAAAGAACATAATTTCACTTACATGACACAAAATGTTATATAACAGGTAACATTTTAAATTAACAAAACCCTTACCTTCATGTTTACTCCTTGTAGAAAGAATTGGATGCAGCTGAAAAAGTCAGAATTTCTATTTCCTGACTTTCTGTGGAAAGGCAAACCTAAAGAATCAAAATATAATCCAAAATTATAAAGAAGGCCAACATACTTCTAGTTAAATGTGGTAGCTTGAAATGTGTTTATTACATGACAGTAAAGGAATAAACAAGAGAGGAGAAAGTTATGGACAGGGCAGGTCAGTCAGGGTTCGAGAGATGTATGGAAGGTAAATGACGTCAGTGGGCGGAGCAAGCTGACCTGAAGTGCAGGGAGACGCCTGGGCCCCGCAGCGCCTGACGGGCCAGCATCACTGGGGGGCCACTGTCCAATTCTGAGAGGTAGGGATGAAGGGCAAGGTGACAGGAGGAGCGTGGTGGAAGTCTCAAACAGCCCTCCTACCTCCGAGGCCCTCCTCCCCCACGAGCAGGAGTCTAGAGGCTGGTCCCCTGGATAAACTGAGCCAGAGAAGACCTGGTCTCAAACAGCAGGTTCAAGAGGAGGGCAGAGGCAGTGCTGAGCACTGAAGGATGCAGTTACAACCTCCCTTCAGAACTACGAAGCGCCCGGCTGCCTTCTTCAGCCTGGTCCTGAGACAGCCCTCAGCTAGGCATCTGCACCCACCCTCCCCAGAGGAGTCTGGAAGATCCCTTTCTGGAGAAACAGAATCGCCCCAGAGAAAAGACCAGCACGTGGTGATATTTGAGTGTGAGGAGAGACGGAGATTTATCAAATGACCAAAGCTGGCCTCCCATCCAGTCGACCTAGCCCCAAAGCCATGAGTCCACCAGCTCCAGCCTCCTGCCAGGATCTGCCTGTAGAACGTGAACAGGCTGCTTTGAGTCACGGACATTTTCAGAATGTCTCCACATGATGGACAGAGACCACAACACACAGTGTTACTCAGAAAACAGAATTCAGGAAGTAGGAGGAAAAATTTTAATTAATTTTGCCAGAAAAAATAAGGCAAAATACCGCATTCACGAAACAAGAATGTGTTGCAATAGAAAGGAATCATCTGAGAACAAGACATGACAGAAAAAATATGGTAGGTGACATTACAAATGCAATACAAGGTTTAAAAGACAGGCAAGGAACTCTCAGAGCTGAATAAACAGCTAAGGAGATAGAAAAGTTAGAGGATTAATTCCGTGGGGTTGCAAAGAGTCAGACATGACTTAGCACCTGAACAACAACATCTGATTAATGCTCGAAGAGAGAAGTAAAGCGGAGAAAATTACTAAAGAAACCATATGAGAAACTTACGGTTTTGTCTGCCACAATTTGAGTGGGTTTTTCTTTCATGTGCAATACAATGATTCTCAGATGGTCCTCCAAGGAACATTCCAGGAAGATAAGGACCCAGAAATACTCCACAGAGTGGACACTGTAGAGATTACTGGTTATCCTGGAGGGAGCACTTTGCTGAGCCGTGGGAATAGACACCACAGTGGAGAAGTCTGAAGGACAAACAAAAAACTTGGAAATGGAGATAATTCATGAGCCCACCGTTCTTTCACAAGTTTTTCAATGAGAAGGGGAGAAATCAACTGATAGTTCTAAGGATTAAGGGCAGATGTTTATTTTTATTTTTTGGCTGTGCCAACTGGCTTGCGGGTAGTCCCCCCATCAGATTTTGAACCCCAGGCCACGGCAGTGAAATGGTCAAGTCCTAAACCCTGGGGGAGGGAGGATTTTTTTTTTAAGGTAAGAGAGAATAGGGCATGAAAAAAGTAAAAGTGACTTGAAATACCAATTGTATTCTTGTCTGTTCAGGGAAGTACAAGCCTACATTTACAATTAATAAATCAATGGAAAATGGAGAAGAGAATGAATTCTCTACTTCACCTTTGACTTCAATGATGGGAGTGATTTAAATTCAAAGGATTAGAGGAGGAGGAAATAAGCTTTTTTGTTTTTTTTTCTCAAGTATCCATCTCCGTTCTCCATGGTTGTATATAGATTATATATCATCTATAACCTATTGTATGTAATCTATTCTCATCATTGACGATGTTCAGTTGCTCAGGTGTGTCTGACTCTTTGCGACCCTGTGGACTGCAGCATGCCAGGCCTCCCTGTCAGCGGTCATTAATGAACTTTTCTAGAGAAAGTTCCAACTCTTCTCCCACAGTTTTTCAGTGATTTCTTGTGTCACTATTACACGGGTTTGATTAGTCTACACTGAGGTCAGTCCCTGTGTTGTCCACTTGCTCAACAAGTAATCGAACCCTTCAGCGCGCTGACAACGTGCCCTGTGGATGCACAGGTGTCTGCGCGGTGTCTGAGACCTCAGAGGAGGGGCTGGCTGGGCGCGGCGTTAGGCCCGCCTCCCCCTGCCCCCCGCCCCGGGCCCCGGGCCCACACACACACGTTGTTGGCTGCAGCCAAGGTACACACGGCCCTCAGGACAAGGCAAAGGGGCCCAGAACACAATACCGTGAGGAGGGGTGGGGCCCACCACTGCCAACAGTTGCAGAAAGTGCTGTGGCTTGGTGATCCAGGAGCCCCACCCCCAGAAGTGGGGGCCACTGACGTTGCTTCTTCAGCTCAGGATGAATCTAACAATCCAAAGTCTTCCTGTGGGAGCTACTGTCCTACTCCTTCTACCAAACTCTCCAACTGACCTGGGGAATCTACGTGAAGAGTGCACGTTAGCAGCGCAGCAGTCAATCAAAGGGCCACACAGCCATGGTCCTCATCTCCCCTGAACCAGCAGCATCACAGGTGCCGTCCAGGTGCCGCTGGGAAGCAGCGTGACAACCCCCGAGGGGTCTCAGCCCCGGGAAGCCCCGCTCCTGTCCAGGCACCAAGAGGCCAGCTGTGGCAGGAGGCGGCCGGGGGACGTTGCTGAGACCTGGACCTGCCAGACTGGTTTGGAAATTAAAGCCACGTTAGACTGAGTGTTCATAGAGCTTCCAGAAAAAGCCCAGTTTACTCCCTTGGCTGTGACTGCTTCACTGGAAGAACCTGATTTAACTTTAATCATGAATCTGCTGTGATAAGTGTTCTCTCTGTATGAAGTATCTGCCGTTTCAATAGCCATCAAGGGAAAATATATGAACAGTCAAAGGAGCAGTAATGAACAAGAAGTCTTTCCCAGTCGCAGAAACTGCTTCTACCCAAGAAATAATTTTTATTCTATTTTTTTCAAATGCAAATAAGAATGGAAATGTAACATGGTTCTGTCCACCACGGAACAGGTTTTTGTTATTGCGGCCAAGTTCCACAATAATCATAAATGCCTTGCATTCACTCTCATGCTGAGGTTTGAACCTTACGTTTCCTCACAGTAGGTCACAGCTGAGAATTTGTAGTCTTTCTCGCAGCTAGAATCTAACAATTTTACAGCTTTCATTAAAAAAAAAAAAAAAAAGCACAGCAGGCTCATTAAGCTTAGACTTAGGATCTGGCATGAGATTTGGGGCTTCATTTTTTTTCAATAAGTGATAAACCAGTGTATTAAAGTGGAGAGACTCCTGGAGAGCAGGGATGTTTAGTCCTGCTTGTGCTGTGTGTGATTGGACCAGTCACTTACCCTCTCTGGGCCGCAGCTTCCTCCTCTGGGAATTTGGACAGGAGAATCTCTGAAGTTCCTTCCAAATCTTACATCTTGTGATTCTATAAAGTGGTGCCAACTAAAACTGGTCACTCCATGTAGCCTATAAAGAAGGTACACTACAGCTTTCCGTTTACCAAATGCTAAGTCAGTTCATTTCACTCCAGTCGCTCAGTCGTGTCCGACTCTTTGCGACCCCGTGAATCGCGGCACACCCGGCCTCCCTGTCCATCATCAACTCCCAGAGTTTACTCAAACCCATGTCCATCGAGTCGGTGATGCCATCCAGCCATCTCATCCTCTGTCGTCCCTTTGTCCTCCTGCCCCCAATCCCTCCCAGCATCAGGGTCTTTTCCAATGAGTCAACTCTTCGCATGAGGTGGCCAATTCTTTGCGGCCCCATGGACTGTAGCCCACCAGTCTCCCCTGTTCATGGGAGTCTCCAAGCAAGAATACTGGAGTGGGTTGCCATGCCCTTCTCCAGGGGATCTTCCTGACCCAGGGATTGAACCCACAGCTCTTACATCCCCTGCATTAGCAGGTGGCTTCTTTACTAGAACCACCTTAGTTTCCGAATGGACATTCAAAATGTAGACAGAAATCCACCCCTGAGTAGACACACTCCACCTTGGACAGAATAAAGAAGAAATCGGTGTTAAGAAGCGTGACTTGCTAAAAAGACAGAAAGTGGCCCCCACCACGTACTTGCCTTAGCAGAACCAGCCGGTTCTCAGGACTCCGGAGGGCGGCAGAAGGGCCGGGCATGAGCAGCGCTCGACTGCCCCCGCGCAGCCGGCATCGCTCCCAAGGCAGCTCTTTGTTTCGGGCCTTATCTGAAAACAGAAGATAAATTCTTTTCCTACAAATTCACATATGCTGCTCCGAAACGAAAGGGCTTCCCAGAATGTTTAAGAACATTTTGGGCTCATCGGCCCTTTTGTGACGACATGGCCACGTAAAAGTGATCTGCTGCCCGTTATGTGTTTTCAGTCTCAGGTTGAACAGTCATGAGCTTACCAAAAATTTTCCCTGGTAACTTTGAGAAACAATTTACATAAGTTGTAGTCATTTAACTGAGAAAGAAATGGCAAACCACTCCAGTGTTGTTGCCTAGAGAATCCTGTGGACAGAGGAGCCGGGTGGGCAGCTGCCCGTAGGGTCGCACAGAGTCGGACACGACTGAAGCGACTTAGCAGCAGCAGCAGTCATTTAAAGTGTACATTTTGAAGAATGTTGCCAGTTGCATCTGCCTGTGAAACTACAGAACAACACGTCCTTCCACAATCCACAAGCAACCACTGACCTCCCTCTGTAATAGTAAGGGATTAGTTTGCATTCTTCAGAACATACAGTATGTAATCTTGTGTTGGCTTCTCTGATTCAGCTTAATACATATTATCACATGTACCAGTTTGTTCCTTTTCATTGCCCAATAATAATTCATTGTATGGATGTACAACTTTTCATTTATTCATTGACCTGTTAATGGGCATTGGGTTCTTTCCAGCTTGGGGTTATTGGGAATAAAACTGCTGTTACAACACTCTCTGTGGACATGTTTTTATTTCTCTTGAGTAAGCAGCTAAGAGTAGAATGGCTGGGTCATATGGTAGGTGTGTGTTTCAAGAAAGGTCTTAAATTTTTGAGACAATAAAAATGATTTGCAGGCCCACCTTTGCCCTTAGATGATAAAAACATGAGAGTTTTTTTTTTTTTGAGACAATGATTCTTAACCTTTTCCTTCCCTGAATGTATTGAATATTCTAAATGTGGAAGAAGAGGTTGGAAGAAGTTATAGACCATTTTCCTCATTTGCAAGGGAGGAAATGGGAGCCTGGGGAGGTGAGGGGTCTGTCAATAGCAGAGTGGCAAGAACTGCTAAAACTCTTGGCGGGTCCTGTGTGTGTGAATAACACCTTCAATGTTATCCATGGATGGAAATGTCATGAAAAACTGCATGGTCCTAAGACCTGGCTCATATTGTTAGAGTTAGAAACAATCCAGCCTTCATTTATGCTGGATGACATATCTTCTCCACCTAGAATCTGGCAGAAAAAGAGAATTTTTATCATTAGCTTCTCACCAAACCCCAGAAGCCCCTGAAACTAAACAGACATGCAGAGAAGATCACTTCTCTGAGGCCAGCACTGCCCACTAAAGAGCTGGGCCCTTGAGTGGAGCAGATCAATGCCACTCTGGGCACAATTTCACACCTTCACCAGATGCAAAACCCCTAGTAATGAATTCATTCAAGAGGAATCCAGTGTTGAAATATTTGTTCCTTTTTTCATTCTTGTTTGCAATAAAAATGGAATAAAACCATTAATTGATCACATCTCTTTCTTAATCCAAAACATAAGGCTAACAAAACTCTAATTTAAAAAAATCAATTTATGTGTGCTTTCTGTTGTCAATACTATGCATAATTCTTGAAGGGATATTTATAAAGTCATCTTTAGCAGTAACAATGAATCTTACTTTAGACAGGATACCATTGGATGCATGATATTTTAAGTACTGTAATCAGGTCAGAAAATATGTATTTAATAGAAAAAACATGTCATATGTAAGTACTTGACCAAAACCCAACAACAAATAAAATTACTTTCATTCCTCTCAGAACAAAAAACACTTTGAGAATGTGTGATATGAAAAGAGTACATTTGTCAAGTCTTTCTTGGTATGACTGTTTTTCGCAACATACAAAGTGAAAAGAACTGGAATGAAATTAGAAAATTCTTTGACCCAAATAATAGAGAGGAAGAAATAACAGCTTATTGAAAAGCTGTCTCAATTCACATTTACAAACTCTCAAAGGGAGCCTAGGTTCTGCAAAGAAAGCAGAAGCCTCCATCATCATGCAGTTGCTTTCAGAACCCGAAGATGAAGTTGAATCTCAAAGGTATTTTTGAGCTTTCCATACTGCTCCATGCTGCAGATTTTCAAGGAATCCTACATATTCTTGCTCTGAAGAGCTGCTGCCAGCTCCAAGTCTGCAACAAACCCTAACCTGGGGTTTAGACAAGGTGGAATGAAAACCTTCATTTAAAATCTGTGGATTCCAGTCAGGCTCAAGCGGAAGGAGCTCTTTACCAGTGACTACATCTGGGGAAAGGCTAAGGAGGTTCTCTAGGTGGTGGAAGGGTTATGTCATCACTTCTGTCACCACTGACCTCCTCATTTGACCCCAACACCAGCAACCCTGGGACTCTTTCCAGAGGAAAAAGGAGGCAGGAACAGGAATGCTCTGTAGCATGAGTGCCAAGTTCCCAGAAACCCCAAGGTCTGCTTTTCCAAAAACCTGTCCCTGAGGCTCCTCTGAGTCCACATGAATTAATCTATCCTGGCTTGAGTGGGAAGCTGTATTTGGAGAGTTGTTCAATCACTGAATGCAAATTTCCTTGCTTGTATTTCCCCCATTATGTATAAAGATCTCAGGAATCAAGGCATCAGATAGGAGGTGTGAGCACTGCATGGATTCTTAGCTTTGCTTTTTTTTTAATCCCAACGTGATGGCACAGCCTTGGGGTCAGATGATAAATCAGGCAACAGAAGGACTGAATGAGTCCTGGTCAGCAATTGAGGAATCTTCCTACGGACCCTGCCCTGGAGATGCCAGCAATAAGCCACCAAGCTCCAGTCTTGTTACAGCCTCGTAAGTGAGCAGTCACTCCATTTTTTGGATTATCTTTCTACTTCGTTTTCTCTCATTGTTGAGGTTGGCAAAGAAAAATATGCCTCTTAGAAAAAAAAAGGAGTCACACCCATCCAAATTCAAACTAGACTCCATCCTTTGTTAGTTACATGACATGGGTGACCACTGGTTTCCTGGGGTCCCCGGGTGCTTCCCTGTGAAGTGGAACCACTACAGCCCTTCCCAGGACTGTTGCAAGGACCAAATGACCTGATGTTCAGGGTCCAATACAAACTCTGTGGTTAATAAAAGTTCTTACTCTCCTCCCTTGAAGCTACTGCTCTTTCAAACAGAATGCTATCAATTAAAACTAGAATTATAGATTTGAGACATCTTGATTTGATGATCAAATCATTAGCTAAAATGAAAGTTTAGACCATTTCCCTCTTTGCAGGAACCCAAGCTAGAGTTTGGACTTCCCTTGTGGCTCAGCTAGTCAAGAATCCGCCTGCAATGCTGGAGACCTAAGTTCAATCCCTGGGTTGGGAAGATCGCCAGGAAAAGGGAAAAGCTACCCACTCCAGTATTCTGGCCTGGAGAATTCCATGGACTGTAAAGTCCATGGGGTTGCAAAGAATCAGACATGACTGAGCGACTTTAAGTTTACTAAGCTAGTGTTTAGCAGGCATTGGCTGAGGCCCAAACTACATCAAGTCCTATGCTGAGCATTATTCAAAGGAGAATCTCATCCAACTCTCTGTTCAGGTGGCTCTGTGCCAACTGAGTTGGGAAAATTAAAGCAATGGTGGTTGGTGACTGCCTTCTAACCCAGCACATGTGGCTTAAAGGTAAGTGAGTGGCAAGGAGAGGAAAAGGAGGATTGCATGGCATACTCTAAATTCTCTGAAGAAGGCTGCATTCTCCCCAGGGGCCAATGTTCGGCAGGACTCTTGGGAAAAACTTTGGTCTTGACAAAATCTCTTTCAATAGTTCAATCTTTCACTTTTGAGGCGAGACTAGTACTAATCTTCCTCACTGGTGATGGGAACAGTGGATCCTGACACCTAAAAAAGAGGTGAGTCCAACAGATGTGACAAATGAATGCACGCCCGCAGTTACGGACTTGGCCGTACAGGGGAATCGATGCTATTATTTATTTCTGCTGAGTTCTTGCTTGTGATAGTCCACAGAGTGAGAAGCTTGTCATCAGTTCTGACATGAAATATGGAGAAAAAAATTTATATCAATGACTTGTAAGATTAGCAGACATCATTCTAACCAACGTGGCCATGAAAGATATAGGACAAAAAAGGAAAGCTTTTTATCACTTCACTGAGGTTACCTTGTTTTCTTAAATGCTCTATATCATCAAGCAATCACATGTTTAAGTTTTGCTATTGTTAATATATGGGTTGACTATGGAGAAAATGGGCTTCCCTGGTGGCTGAGCTGGTAAAGAATCTGTCTGCAGTGTGGGAGACCTGGGTTCGATCCCTGGGTTGGGAAGATCCCCTGGAGAAGGGAAGGCTACCAACTCCAGTGTTCTGGCCTGGAGAATTCCATGGACTGTATAGTCCATGGGGTTGCAGAGTCGGACACGACTGAGCAACTTTCACTTCATGGAGAAGAAAGATGCTCTGAATCATTCAACAAAATGAACTTTGCAAATAATAAATGAAGACAGCAGTTACTGACAGACCAATGGTCAGCCTTAGACATACAGGCTAAAAAAACCCTGCAAAATTATGACATATCCTTTCTGCCAAACTAAAAAAAAAAAAAAAGATCTGGAGTAGTTTATTATAAAAATACAAGTAACATCAGACCAGTATAACAAAACCAAACTACTGATAAAACAAACAAACAAAAACCATAAAATAGGAACAAATAAATAAGGGCAAAAAGGAAGAAAAAAACCCCAGAATTCTCAGAATCCCTATCTGAGGAAACCTACAGCAATTAAGCCCAAAATCTGGTCTTGAGCTTCCTGGCAGCCAGGGTGATAAGGGAATAATGGATTTATGTAGTTGTCGATGCTTAGAAATAAGAAGCCCAGGCCAAAAGAACAAAACAATATTTTACTCTTAATCTCTGAAAATAAATTGTGAGAGATCTTTTCTTAAAAGGGGAACTGGGTAAGATAGTGGGAAAAAAATCCCGACAGCTCCTTGGCATAACATGCAGAAATGTTCTCTGCATACATGAACCACGATCTACCTTGCAGGAGCACTATGGAAATAAGTAAGGCTTTGCCATTTTAACACAAATTAGGCCCTGGCAATGGCAATCTTGACATCTTCAAGCGACCAGAACATGGCCTCAAGTTTGGACATGAGGAAGATAACTCCCTGAATAAGGAGAATAGATATCACAAAGAATTTTAGTTTGTACCCATGAACCCTCCTGGGCTGGACTCTATTGATTTAGTACAAAAAAAAAAAGTTATCAATTTGATTATCTGATGTCAACTGT